AATAGAATCAGGATCATATATTGAACATAACATAGCATCAGATATTAGACTCTGGCCTTTGATAACTAAATCTTCCGAAAAGGAAATAGATCTCTCCATGTCCCTTTGCCTCCAAAAGGATAGGATGGAAATAGTTCCTTCAGAAGTTAGGAACTGCTTGTGGTTATCATTTGCTTTTTTTAAAATTATTCTAAAAGCAGTCATTTAGGGACTTCCCTGGCAGTCCAGTGGTTAAGATTTCGCAGGGGCTGCAGGTTGGCTCCATCCCTGGTCCGAGCTAAGATCCCACATGCCTCGCGGCCAAAAGACCAAAACATAAAACAGAAGCAATATTATAACAAATTCAATAAAGACTTTAAAAATTGTCCACGTCAAAAAAAAATTTTTTTTTTAAGCAATCATTTAGGGACTTCCCTGGTGGCACAGTGGTTAAGAATCCACCTGCCAATGCAGGGGACACAGGTTCGATTCCTGGTCTGGGAAGATCCCACATGCTGCAGAGCACCTAAGCCACCACAACTACTGAAGCCCGTGCGCTCACCACAGCTAGAGAAAGCCCACGCACAGCAACGAAGACCCAGCACAGCCAAAAGTAAATTAATTAATTTTTAAAAAGCAGTCATTTAAAAATAAATACCAGTTTACTTAAAAGTAAATGATAATATCGTCAACTTATTGTCAAATGGTTTAGAAAGTATTTGTATACACGTGCAACACAAAGTACATATGGCCAAAAAATTAGCAGTTTGTGAATATAGATGAAAGTTACAAGATTTTTGAATTCTTTCAAATTTTCTGTAAGTTTGAAATTAAAAAAAAAAAAGATGGAAAAAAATTAACAAGAATATTCCTTTAGCTCCAATCCCCAACTCTTTTCACCTCTCCAGAGATAAAACCTCTATTAAAGGTTTTTTCAAGCATGTTTTTTAATCCATTTACAAAGATGTATAATTGTTAGCATAAATGGAATCACAGTATAAGTAGGATTATACTATATTTACTGATATCCTGCTTGCTTTTTAAATTTAACAGTATATATTAATTTTCTATTGCTTCTGTTACCACAAACAACACACTTAAAACAACACAAATTTATTAGCGTTCTGGAAGTCAGAAATGGGTTTCACTAGGCTAAAATCAAGGTGTTGGCAGCTCTGCGTTTCTTCAGGATGCTCTAAGGGAGAATCGGTTTTCTTGCCTTTTCCAGCTTCTAGAGGTCGCCTGCATTCCTTAGCTCATGGTCCCTTCCTCCATCTTCAAAGCATCTTGAAGCATAGCATCTTCAAATATCTCTGACTCTGTCTCTTCTGCCTCTCTCTTATAAGGACCCTTGTGATTACATTGGGACCGCCTGGATAATCCCCATCTGGAGATAATCTTATGTGCAATGTCCTTTTGCATTGTAAGGTAACTGACAGATTCTAGGGATTAGGAGATGGACATGTCTGGAGGGCTCTTATTTTACCTACTATATAGTATACCATACCTATCTTGCTTTATCAATATATTATAAATCTACAATTCTTTTTTACAGCTGGATAGAACTGATGTAAAATTTATTTGACCAATCTTCTGATGAATATTTAGGTTTCCGATTTTTATGCTTCAATAAGTCATGTTTCTGTGAGTATTTTTGTACTTATCTGTGTGAATATCTGTGTATTCGTGGGATAAATTCCTAAAACTGAAATTTCTGAGTCAGTGTATTGTTGATTTGATAGTACTGCCAAATAGTCATCCAAACTGCTGTACCAATTTACAGTCCCACAGCCAAGCCCCATACTCTTGTCAACACGAAATATGAATAATCTTTTTCATGTTTTTCAATACATGAGTAAAAACTTTTTTATTTCAAATTGCATTTCCATGTTTAAATAAGAGATTGAGGGACTTCCCTGGTGGTCCAGTGGGTAAGACTCCGCGCTCCCAATGCAGGGGGCCTGGGTTTGAGCCCTGATTGAGGAACTAGATCCCACACGCATGCCGCAACTAAGAGTTCACGTGCTGCAACTAAGAAGTCCGCATGCCCCAATGAAGATCCCACCTGCTGCAACTAAGACCTGGCGCAGCCAAAATAAATAAATAAATATTAAATGAGAGGTTGAGCATTGTCATACTACTTTATTTTGGAATTTTCTAGATTAAACTTGTCAAATGAATACAAAAAAAACCCCACACAACGTGAGAGTTGTGAGTTAAGTTTTATTTGGGGCAAAATGAGGACTATAGCCCAGGAGACAGCCTCTCAGAAACCTCTGAGGAACTACTCTGAAGAAGTAGCAGGAGAGGTTAGTATACCTGTGATTTTATTTTTTATGGAGATTTTGTTTGTTTGTTTATTTATGGCTGCACTGGGTCTTCGTTGTGGTGTGCGGGCTCTTCGTTGCGGCGTGTGGGCTCAGTAGTTGTGGCACACAGGCTTAGTTGCCCCTCAACATGTGGGATCTTAGTTCCCCAACCAGGGACCGAACCTGCATTGCCTGCATTGGAAGGTAGATTCTTTTTTTTAAGGAAATACCCTAAATCTATTATTATTATTATTTTATTATTTTACTTTTGGCTGCATTGGGTCCTTGTTGCTGCCCATCGGCTTTCTCTAGTTGCGGCAAGCGGGCTTCTCATTGCGGTGGCCTCTCTCCCTGCAGAGTATGGGCTCTAGGTGCACAGGCCTCAGCAGTTGTGGGACACGGGCTCCAGAGTGCAGGCTCAGTAGTTGTGGCACACGGGCTTAGTTGCTCTGCGGCATGTGGGATCCTTCCGGACCAGGGCTCGAACCCGTGTCCCCTGCATTGGCAGGCAGATTCCTAACCACTGCGCCACCAGGGAAGCCCTGAAGGCAAATTCTTAACCGCTGTACCACCATGGAAGTCCCAGTATACGTGTGAGTTGGTGAAGGGGGATGTGTGCAATCAAGCACACATTTTGGCAGAGGGTCGCTGCTAGTCACGAGGAGCAGATGTCTCCGTTAATGATTTTAGTGCTTTTCTAGATATGAGAAGATGCAAGAAATTGGGCTCAAATCTTCTGAAAAGATCTAACTATCTGAAGGCCCTTTCTGCCAGTTTTTCCCAGAGCACAGAGTGCCTCATTCCTGATCTCCTCCCTGAACTCCTTTCAGGGTGTGTTGAAGGTCAGTGACTGCAGTGGCTAGTGACCTAATCCTTGTAGAGGCAGATTGCAAGTGATAAGTTTTAGTTGGCAAACTTTTTGGATCCTAAAGAGCAACATACTTCATGAAGTATTTGTGAGAATTTGAGTCCATTATGTTTATATTTATTTAGAAGCATGTTTATTCCATACTAAATACTTTTAAAATAAATACTGTACATAAAAATTAGTGGTTTTCCAAAAGAAATTATTTTGTGATAATTACCAATACTTCTTAGGTATTATATATTGGACTTCAGTGTTTACATAAAATACAATAATTTTCTTGTTTCTTTTTTTTTTTTCCCCTGTTAAAGTAAGAATTCTGAGTTGGGAATTTTTTTTAGCTCTGTAACTACCAGCTTCATAGCATCGGCTTTGAATTTATGTCTTTCCCTCTATGGCACACCTTGCCTTCCCTTACACTTTTAAGATTAGCCAATATAAAACTGGTATCATAGAGAAGACACAGAGAAATGTGAAATGTAGCTTGAGATTATTTATGCCCAGCCTTCAGTTAATTGATGTTAAGTAACTGATCCTTTCAAACTGAAATGTTGATTGCTTCTGGAGGTGGGCACAGGGAAATTTAAACATTTTCAATATAGAACTAGATCACCTGTTAAAAATAATCATTATTAAAGTCCTTTTATAATCGGCTCTCATGTGACTAGTGGCACCTTGATTACCTTGAGATGTGGGGAAATGAGCCATCATGTCTTTCCACATTAAAGATGGAATCTAAAAGTGATTCTTATCCCTATGTTTTTCCAACTTCAGTGTATTTATTACTAATGCAGTGCAAATTCCTGCTTAAATATACTTTGAAAGAAAATTAAACATAAGACACTTAGAACTTACATCAGTATGATAACCCAAGTCCTCAGCATTTAATTCTGCCTTCCTCTCCAAAAGTCTCATTGAAATAACAACAAAAGAAACCCCATAAGCAAAGGGAAAATGTTAGTAAACCTAGGGAATGCCAGAAACCGTGGGCTTATACTAAAAACTTTGTTATTTCTACAAGACAAACAGTATTAGAGAGACTTCATTGATCACTTCTCAGTCTTGGGAAAAAAATAACCTGAAGTGGTGGTTAATGCCCATTCACCTCCCTAACAACCCATCGAAACCATAGACTCAAAGCTTCAAGTATTGGAAGCAAGGGAGCCAATTGATGGGAAGCAAATCTAGAACTTGGCCCAACTTCTTAGGCTCCTTTGTTGGATCTCTCCTACTCAGTTCAGGAGGATATTGGTTTTTCTCAGGGCTCCATGTCTTCAGTTACCGTCTATTTGATAACAGCTCCCACATGTACATCTCCAATCCAGTCACCACCACCACTACCCACTACCCTTGTGCACATCAAAGTTAAACTCCTTTAAATAAAAAAGGGGGAAAAGGCTTACTAATTTTTTTTTCCTCATTTTTTCTTTTTTTTCTAGGGTTTTTTTCTTAAACTTTATGTATCTATTTATTTATGGCTGTGTTGGGTCTTCATTGCTGCTCATGCGCTTTCTCTAGTTGTGGCGAGCAGGGGCTACTCTTCGTTGTGGTGCACGGGCTTCTCATTGCAGTGGCTCCTCTTGTTGAGGAGCACGAGCTCTAGGTGCGCGGGCTTCAGTAGTTGCAGCACGCGGGCTCAGTAGTTGTGGCACACGGGCTTAGTTGCTCCTTGGCTTTCCTCCCTTTTTCTTTTTCCTCTTCTATACCATAGGTTTGCTGAAAATGGCATCAAGAAGTGTGGCTTATCCTTAGTTCTGTCATTCAGAATTTGAAAGCATTTTTGTCTGCCAGGATATAATGCTCCCTTTAATCATCAACCTGTTGGCTAACATTCCTTACCATTTTAGGTTGAATTCTCTTACCCGCCCCTGATTCCAGGAGATGGACATGACAGTCACACTCTACCTGAAGAATGGAAGTATTTGCCCTTCCTTGCCTTACCAGATGGCGCACACAACTACCAAGAAGGTATGTAAACAGACAGTGGAGCAATCAGTAGGTGGCTTTTTAAAAAATTTGCCACGAGTCTGAGTACTTTGGTAATGAAAGACCTTTGGCCTATTGTGACTGTTCATAAAATATTTAAATGCTTCTTTGGAGATGACTAGTTAGTCATATACTAGAGGATCTGCAGAGAAGTGCCAGGCTTATATTGGTAATGGTTGGTGGACACTGGCCACTCCTTTGCCAAGAGCTCTGGCCAAAGTAAGTAATTAGCCATATTAGGACATCTGCTACTGGTAGCACTTTCTGCATTTAAACTTCAGACTCCTTTCAGAGACAAACTAAGGAGCTTTACCTGCACCAGCTGCAGATTGATTGGAACTCTAGCTTCGTCCTCTAGTGCCCACCTGAAAACAGCTGGGATTGCTTCTCCACCTCTGGAGCACTGCCATCACAGTGCTCTGCTTAAAAGTTGGCTTGCATGCGTGGGGAGCATGTTAACACCCTCAAGGAAAGCAATGCTGTGAAGTTAGTACTGAGTCTCCTATCACCGTATAGATGAGTGCTTTGAATGGCTTAATGAAGAAATAAATATACTATACTTTATCATGGTATTAGAGGCTCTACCAAGACACAAGATTAAACTTGGTTTGGCTACTTATTTTTCTAATATTTACTAATTTTTGTATGAAATGAAGCAAATATTACTCTGCAGTTTAACATAAAGTTAATTTTTAAAATTTATTTATTTTTTGCTGCATTGGGTCCACGTTGTTGTGCGCAGGCTTTCTCTAGTTGCAGAGAGAGGGGGCTACTCTTCGTTGCGGTGCGTGGGCTTCTCATTGCCCTGGTTTCTCTTGTTGCAGAGCACGGGCTCTAGGTGCGCGGGCTTCAGTAGTTGTGGCTTACGGGCTCTAGACCGCAGGCTCAGTAGTCATAGCGCACGGCTTTAGTTGCTCCACGGCATGTGGGATTTTCCCAGACAAGGACTCGAACACGTGTATTGGCAGGTGGATTCTTAACTACTGCGCCACCAGGGAAGTCCCTAACAAAATTAAAATGCTGTACTTTTAACCTCACAAGTCTTCTTTTTTTAATCTTTTTATCATGAAAGCTTTTAAACATACAGAAAAGTTGGAAGAATAGTAAATATTCCACAAACTTTCTTTATATATGTGTACAGTTTTGCCTATACTATTTGAAAGTCAGTTGCAAACATCATGACACTTTAAATACTTCAGCCTGCATCTTGTAAAAATAAGATCATTCCCCGGGATGACTTTCGATTCTTTTACCACAGCTAAGAGATTTAACAGTAATTCTATAATACCATCTCATATCTAATCTATGTTCAAATTTCCCCAATTGTCCCAAGAATTTCTTGGAGCTATTCAAAATTTATGTGTTGCCTTTGGTTTGTATGATTCTTTATATATATATATATATATATATATATATATATATTTATTTGTTTGTTTGTTTGTTTGTTTGTTTTTGGCTGCATTGGGTCTTCATTGCTGCGTGTGGGCTTTCTCTAGTTGCGGCGAGCGGGGTCTACTCTTCATTGCGGTGTGCGGGCTTCTCATTGCGGTGGCTTCTCCTGTTGCAGAGCATAGGCTCTAGGTGCGCGGGCTTCAGTAGTTGTGGCATGTGGGCTCAGTAGTTATGCCTCGCGGGCTCTAGAGCTCAGGCTCAGTAGTTGTGGCACATGAGCTTAGTTGCTCCGTGGCATGTGGGATCATTCCTGGACCAGGGCTCAAACCCATGTCCCCTGCATTGGTAGGCAGTTTCTTAACCACTGCACCACCAAGGAAGTCCCTAAGGATAAACTTTTTTTTTTCTTGTTTCTTGTTTTTGGCCACGCGGCTTATGGGATCTTAGTTCCCCGACCAGGGGTAGAACCCAGGCCCTTAGAAGTGAGAGTGCAGAGTCTTAACCACTGGACCATCAGAGAATTCCCTGTATGATTCTTTACTTTCTTTTTATCTGGAATAATCCTGTATAATAAAGTATTTTCTGAGAAAAGTGATTGTAGTCTCAATTCGACCTGTTATGATTCAGCCTCTTAGGCTTTTTGTCATGCGTGTACACTGGAAGGCAGTGAGAGGAATTCTAAGAAACCAGTGGTTGTGATGCTAGAAATAAGTCTGACATGGGTTCCTTGTTACCTCATCGTTTTTAAGTGACTGCATTATAATAACGTCAAAGTTCATTATTAATGTGGGTAGTCCACTTTGATATTTACCTTTTTCTGTATATCTCTTAGATACTGTGTTTTTTCACTTGCCACCCAGAAATGGAAATGGAGCCACTGTATATGGTATCTCTTGCTATCGACAAATTGAAGCCAAGGTACAGTTGAAATGAATAACACCAAAAAACACTAAAAAATTGTTTAATTGTTGGCCACTTAAGATGTAGAATTTGGGGAAGTACATAATCTTTATGTTTCATGTGGTACCTATGATATTGTTTTAAATTTTTATAAACCATGTAGCTCTTTTCTCTATAGTACCAGTTTAATTCACATGAATGTTTTTCTAAGTTGACATTGGCGACTAATTATATTTGTATTGTATAATATTTTGTACATTGTTTTTAGATATTGATACCAAAATTATCCATTTGTCTTCAAAATACTGTATGTCAATTTCATGGTGTCCTTGAGTTTTCTATTTCTAGTGTTTGGTATGTAACTTTAAAAAATGGAATGGTAATGAGTGTTGTATTTTTTTTTTAAGGAACATTCTAGAAGTAATGGAAAGTACTTATAGTAGCTGCAAACTACTTGCAAGTTATCTTAATTATATATAACTAAGATTTTGATCGTTCTTAAACTTACCTTCCCGCTTAATGCCTAACTTACTATAATATCTCTAATTAATAAATTTAAATAAATCAAGATGGGTAGCTTCCCCTTTCCTGGTTTGCTTCTGTGCAGCACCGTTATTTTTGTGGTGGGGATACCCTTTCTGAGTAAAGATCTCTTTCCTCTTATGAAATGATTAATACTCTGAAGTAGTGAGCGCTTTTCAACCTCAGCTTCACGTTGGAATCACCTGGTGAGCTTTAGATACTTGGGATGACTAGGTCCCAACCCCAGAGATTCTGATTTAACGTTCTGGGCATCAGGAGTATTAAAAGTTCCCCGGGTGATTCTAATATGTAGGCAAGACTGAACTGCTGCTCTAAAACAATGGTTTTTAACCAGAACTACATGGAGACTCTTTTTTTTTTTTTTTTTTGGCCAAGAGACTTTTGTGTTTTTTTTTGGCCACAGCGTGCGGGATCTTAGTTCCCTGACCAGGGATCGAAGCTGTGCCTCCTGCAGTGGAAGCACAGAGTCCCAACCACTGGACTGCCAGGGAAGCCCCAGAGACTTTTTTTTTTTAATTTAAGTGTACTTGCCGGGCCTTTCCTTCTACAGACTGAAGTAGAATCTCTGGTAGTAGATCCTAGGCAGTTACAAAGTTTTAAAAGCTTCCTCAGGTGGGTAATTAACTTAGTAAGTCTTTAAAAATTTTCTTTCAGCTTTTATAATGAATGTTTCAAACACGCAGATAAATTAAAAGAATTGCACAATAAACACCTGTATACCCACCATCTACATTCACCAGTTGTTAATATTCTACCACATTTGCTCTGTGTGTGTGTGTGTGTGTTTCCCTCAAGCATTTAAAAGTAAACTGCACGAATAAATCCCAGCATACCCAAAGTAGTTAACTACCGTGAAATAACCCTCCATGCACAGGGCCTGGAACATAGGACACACCAAGTAAATGTTTGTGGTTCAAATGAATAACAGTTTAAAGATAAAGAAACCTGCGAATAATTACACATTTGATTTCTTCATGTACCTTACATCTTATTAGATGAGATGAATTGAGCTGCTGCCTTTCTTGGAAATCTGTTCCTTTCACTACCTCTTATCCCCTGTAAATTGTATAACCACTAGTAAAATTATTCCTCCGATGCTGTTGTCATTAACAACAGTTCTCATGCTCTACATAGACAGCCTTTAAGTGGCATTTCATACGGTCTGTCTCCGACACCTCCTAAGTCTGACCCACTCCAGAGTATATTGGGGTTGCCCATTTCTCCAGGTTGTTCTCACCTCATCTGATAACCAGACAGATAAACCAGATATCAGAGAGCCCTAGAGCCTAGGAGAAAGCCTTTCCTTTCCTTTTGAACAAAGCTGAGACCCAATGGATGAATCCAATCAAGGTAAAGAGGCAGAAACAGATTGAGGAAAGGCTCTACTCTTGATGTAATCTAATGACGAATCATCAGTCCTCAGGCAGTTGAAGACACTGAGACCCCATTGTCCTCAGGACAGATCCAAGGATACGTCAGGCAGTACACTAGGGGGGAAGAGTCATTCTTACTGCCCTCACAGCCTTACCTGAGGTTGATCAAGTCCTGTTTCCTACTAGCAGAGAACTGCAGATATCTCATGTAGTCATCTTCAGAATCACCGAGGCTTGAGTTACGGCTCAGGGCTGGGCTACAATACAATACGGGTGTGCCAGGATAGACTCCAGTAACGTAGAATAACCAGCTTAACAAAACTGCTGACAATTCTTCCATCTCTGGAGAAACAAGCTGTTAAACTGTCCCTTTCTCATCAGAAACATTAATCTCCGAAAGGGGTGTCCATTTTAAAACCAGAACCAGGGATGACTGATTTGCATTATGGATGTGGCTATTTACACATCAAGTAATCTCCACCAGACTGAATTCCTTGAGAGTAGAGATTGTCTCTCACTGTTATGTTCCCATTGCCTGCCAGATTCTGGCAGAGTGCTCTGGCTGACACTTATTCATTCAATAAATACCTTCTGAGATTCTCAATAAGTGCTTTTAATTAAGTGTAAGATACTTTTTCTGATTGCTGTGTTATATTGAAAAATAATTATTTTTAAATATGTCCATGAAATATTTTTAATAATGACTATTTGTTTATAATAGGCATTGAAGGTACGGCAAGCAGATATCACCAGAGAGACCGTTCAGAAAAGTGTCTGTGTTCTAAGCAAGCTGGTAAGAGACCAAATAACCTGTTAATGTTAAACACTCATGGCAGGTTTTTATTTGATGATAAAGCATTATTAGAATGAGGAGAGGTTTATGAAAACAGTGATATATTAAAATTAGTCAGAGGCTTATTGTTGATGCTCTTGCATCTCCTCTTTGCCTTTCAGCAGGTTCACTCTCATTTCCCCTCTGCCCAAAACTAGTTAAGAGGGAGGAAATCTAATAGATCAGTTTTGGGGAAGGAGGTTGATACGTGAGCAAAATGAGGCATCTGATATATTTAATTTATCCAGCTTTGTTTTGTTCTCGAGACTGTAGATAAGTAATATTTTACTAAAATTCAAAGTATCATAATTACTCAGATTTTATTGATGATACAAAAGTGCATGGCTCTTTGCAGTGAAAAATTGTATCCCTAGCTTGCTCTTTAAAAACAGAAAATGTGTGGGCTTCCCTGGTGGCGCAGTGGTTGAGAGTCCGCCTGCCGAGGCAGGGGACTCGGGTTCGTGCCCCGGTCCGGGAAGATTCCACATGCCGTGGAGCGGCTGGGCCCGTGAGCCATGGCCGCTGAGCCTGTGCGTCCGGAGCCTGTGCTCCGCAACCGGAGAGGCCACAACAGTGAGAGGCCCGCATACGGCAAAAAAAAAACCCCAAAAAAACACACAAAAAACTGAAAATGTTTGAGGAAAGGAAATGACATAATGAATTGTACTATAACAACACTTTAAAATTGTTTCTTCTCTGTACAGGTTGATCAGATGCAAGTTTATAATCATTTTAACTTTTTAGTTTTCAAAAGAAAATATATAGCATTTCTTATTTTTCATAGCTATCTCTATTAAATCATTTGTGATGTCCCATTTGTATTATTAATGGGTTAATAACACCTTTACCAGTAACACCAGATGCCTAGTTCTACATGTAAAATATAGTCCCCCCACTTCTGTTTGTGGGAAAAAGTATCTAGATATCTATCATATTAATTAACTTAGATCTATATGATTACTGAGTACAAATGTGTCTGCAGTTAACCTAACGCAAAACAGAATATTTCATTAGCCTAGTCACCAAGAAAACTATGGTTTTATTTAATTATTTCCTCTGCAGTTGTTCCAATTTCTTATATTCACAGACAATTTAAATGTAGCTTGCTTAGTACTAAGCTTTAAAAAAAAAACCTGAGTGAGAATAATTTAGTACTATGAACCTTACTAATAAGATTTTGAGGATCAGGATATTTGTTCCAAGATAGTAATTTTTTTGTTTTTTGGCTGCGTTGGGTCTTCTTTGCTGCACGCGGGCTTTCTCTAGTTTGCAGCAAGCGGGGGCTGCTCTTCCTTGCGGTGCACGGGCTTCTCATTACAGTGGCTTCTCTTGTTGCAGAGCACAGGCTCTAGGTGCGCGGGCTCAGTAGTTGTGTGCGTGGGCTTAGTTGCTCTGCGGCATATGGGATCTTCCCGGACCAGGGCTTGAACCCATGTCCCCTGCATAGGGGGCGGATTCTTAACCACTGCACCACCAGGGAAGTCCCAAGTGATTTTAAATATAGGGCAAGAATAGTCTCCTAGAAAAGGAATGGTTATAAAAGACTTCAATATCAGAAAATTGGTAAATTGCTAACCTGATTATTCCTGTACACAGTTTCTAGAAGGGTAGCCTGAAAAAATATACATTAGTGAATTATTGTTTTTTAATGCTGGACCAGATGACCAAAGTATAGGAGTGCTGGATATTGAATAAACACAACATGTTGAAAGGCTTCCTGAATTAATTCTTCAAAGAACAGTAATAATAAGTGCCATTTCTCAAGTGCCTATATGTCAAGTATTCTATACCAGGCACTTTTTTGACATAGTTGTCATTTTAATCCTCGTAAGAAGAGAGATCTAAGTATTTATTGTTCTCATTTCACAAATAAAGATATATCTCAGAGAAAAAATGTCTAACTCTCATGAACATGTAACTGCTATGTGATAAAATTGGGGTGAAAAGCCAGTTTTATCAGACAGATAGAGCCAGCTCACACAAAAATGTTTGGTGGTTCATAGTGCATTTTAGTCTATATATAAAAATATATTTAGATAGAAATAATGATATATTAACTGGGATATTGGGGGAGAAAACTATTCCAGTATTACTTGTTTTAACTAATTAGAGTATATATTCAGCATTAGTCTCTGCATCCTAAAAAGGACACAGAAACCAGAAAACATCTAGAACAGAACATAAAAGGATGGAAATGGTAGGAAGAAGGTTTTAAATAGAGAAATAAGAATTAAGGAGTAACTTTTTTCAGATATACAAAAGAATATTATATAGGATATTATAAAGGACACAGACTAGTTGTTTTAAGCCTCTATAGAGGGCAAAGAAAGGGGAAATGAAAGCAAATTTAATCATGAATGTTCAACTGAATATAAGAATTAGTGCTATAAGGATGATTAAACGTTACTACAAGCTAGCAGAACAGTGTGCAGGATTACGATATGTTTTAAATTTTATGATAATGGTGACTAGCATTTAAGTGCTTTCTATATGCCAGATACTCTAGAAAGTGCTTTTACCTGTGTTATTTAATATGAGAAAGCCCCAGAAGATGTACTGTCTTTTCATATACCCATATTCACATCAGTCAGCAGACGTGGAGAGGTTAAGTGCCCAGAGTTACGTGGCTGAGTGACCGGAGCAAGACCCAGGAGGCCTGTGCCCACTCTCAGCCCCGGTGCTCTGAGTGGGTCAGGCACGTTGCAGCTGCAGTCCGGGAGCTAGAACAGTGACTTACGTTCAGCTGTGAATAATAAGATACTAAAGTTGTCAGTAACTTTTTCCTTCTCAGTCTTTTCAAGTTAAAAAGTCGTGGGGTGTTTGTTTTTTTTACTATTATCAAACTAATGGTAATTTCTCTTTTTCTTTAAGCCTCTCTATGGCTTACTTCAAGCAAAACTTCAACTCATTACGCATGCATATTTTGAAGAGAAGGATTTTTCCCAAATTTCCATTCTAAAGGTAACTTTATCCCCCCCCATAGATGTGTGTGAAGACAGATTGATGAATCAACTAGATTTTTAATAGTGTGAGATAATCATTTATTAGCTTAAGAAGGACATTCTTGTTTGAAAATAATATTGAAGAGCCAATGATCATCCCAAAATGTACAGTTCATACTTATTAAACTTAATGAAACCATCTTTTATTAGAAAATAATGATTGACAGTTGACTATGACATAAATGTTTCTGTTAATGGATAATAGCCCTTTCGCTATGGCATTTCTTCTCTACATTTGTTATGTTATTAATACACTGAGCAGTATGTTTATATATCACATTTCTGGATCCTAACTCCCATACTAAAAAGCACAGAAAAACCACATTCCTACTTTACTGAAGATGGATAATATGTTTTTCTTGAGGCTGCCATGGATGTATAGAATATGGATCTCTCCTGGATTCTAGTGAGAGTAGGACAGTTAGTTATTTAGCAAGGAAGTAGAGGAAATTTATCCTAGGAATCCGTACCACCATGGAAATGAATCAAGCTCTGATATGTAGAGGAAGAGAAGGAAGGATTGCTGGAAACTGGCAAGTTTCAGAGAGACAAAATTGCCTCAGTTAAAGAACCAATTTTCCCTTGGTCATCCTATTTCTAATTCAGTGTCTAAAATGATAGTAAAGTGTTCTAAACTGAATTTTTATTTTATAGGAGCTCTATGAACATATGAATAGTTCCCTGGGAGGAACTTCATTAGAAGGATCCCAGGTATATCTTGGTAAGGCACTTTTTTACAAGTCAGAAGAAATGCCCTCATTTCTTTTTGTTTGGCATGCTGAGTTGCATGTAAAACTTCATGATAAGAATTAGTTTCTATATGGGATCTGAATTCTCCAACATTTGATGCTGCTGCTTCCTTAAATATCTTCTTAGACAGTATTTGCATTAAGAAGGGTTGTAACATACTTGTATCAAAATTTACAACTATTATTGTATAAGGAAAATTTCTGCTTTTCAGAGTAATAATGGAAGTTTGTTTTCCTTACATTAATGCTGACCAGGTCAATTCCCTGTCATAACACAGAGGGAGAGCAAGAGAGAGAGATCTGCTTATTAGCTCTTTTCTATTCTAAGATTTTTCAAGTTGAGGGTTTTATGCTATTTTGACAACCCAGAACATGCATTCGTGTGTTAGGCACTCAATAAATGTCCTTTTCATGTTTAAAAAAAATTGTTGATCACATAGTGATTTACGCTTGCTCAATTCCCATTTTAGCATGATGTAGCCAAACCCTGGAACTTCACTTTTGCAATCCTGTGTGTAATGTAAGCTGGTTACAAAGCTCCTATTCTGAGAATATGTTTTTCTCTAAATTAATTTATCTTGTCTTATGGCAGATGATCAGAGAAGATTGTGATTCAGAAATAGTAGCCTATGGGGTGTAGTGACCAAAAACCATGTTTAAATGATTGATTGCCACAGTAGTACAAGCTTCATAGTTTCTAAACTTGGGTAATTTGTAAGATGGCTGGAAAATGGGGAGGTGTTAGAGCTGCATGACCACAACACGAGCCACTAGCCACATGTGACTGTTTACATTTAGATTAGAATTAATAGAAATTAAATAAAATTTAAAAATCAATTTGTTAGTCACACTTGCCATATTTCAAGTGCTCAGTGGCCACATATGGCTACTCTATTGAACAGTGAAGATTTAGAACATTTTCATTATTGCAAAGTTCTATCGCAGTGCTGTTTGTTAACAGTATTTGATAAATTCTGATTATGTGTGTGCATAATAGATATTACATAAATATTTAAATATTTGCATATTCCTACTTTTACCTGCCTTTCTTTTGAGGAGGTTAAAACTTTCTTTGACAAAAACAGTAGTTGGTAGTCATAGATTAGCTTTTTTATTTTTTTTTTAACATTATAGGTCTATCTCCTCGAGATCTTGTGCTTCATTTTCGACACAAGGTATGATATGTTATTTAATTTATGACGTACTAAAATTACTTAACTGGGCAAATTCCATGAGCTGCATGGTCTAATGCAGAGCGTGGCATAACTGTTTTAGTTTTTCTGAGACAGCTGTCATAGTGATACAAAGTTGAAAGTGTTCGTAGTGCTTATATGATAGAAATTTCTAAAAGTATACAAATAGTGTCATTTATTTCTGTGCAGGATAGGATACTTTTTTCTGTGGTTTTTGTAATTTTGGATATCATGAAATCAGAGTGGAAAAAAACTTCTTTTTTTCACAGGATGTTGAGTATCATTCCCTGTGCTATAGGACCTTGTTGTTTATCCATTCTGTATATAATAGCTTGCATCTACCAATCCCAGACTCCCAATTCACTCCTCCCACACACACACGTGGCAACCACAAGTCTGTTCTCTATGTCTGTGAGTCTTTCATAGATAAGTTCATTTATGTCATATTTTAGATTCCACATATAAGTGATATCTATAGCATTTGTCTTTCTCTTTCTGACTTACTTCACTTAGTATGATAATCTCTAGGTCCATCCATGTTGCTGCAAATGGCATTATTTCATTCTTTTTTATGGCTGAGTAGTATTCTATTGTATATGTATACCACATCTAAAAGAAACATGTTTTTATCTTGCAGAGTATTTTATATGTTGCCCTGAGAGTGAAACATTTTCCAGTAAAATATCTATGCTTATATCTTTTGATCTTTATTCTTAAGGCATCTGTGGACTGGGACATAACACACATTGATCATTCACTTAACAGCTGTAATGAGTATCTGCTCTGTGAATGCCCTGGACATCCAGAAGTAAATGAATAGTACCTTAACTTTAAGGAGCTTACAGATATTTCAAGCAAAAATGGTGCAGCTTATTCCGAAAAGTGCAATTTGATAGCAATTTAAGTGGTATTCACATTTTTAGAGGACACAGGAATTTCTCAGTATAAGTTCATAATTTTCAATGTAGTGTTTAAAGCTCTAGAATTATTTAATATTATTGACTCAATGATACATGGTTATGTTTGAGGAGAGGCAAAGGCAAATGAAAAATAGGCTTGAGTTTCTTATTTTGATAGTTTTTTTTTCTTTCTTCAGGTCCTAATCCTGTTTAAACTAATTCTTCTTGAAAAGAAGGTGAGATTTGAATGTTTAGAATATTTAATATTTATTGACATTTCTTAAATACTATATAAAATTGAAACTAATGATAAAGTATAAATTAAGACTTTTTTGGCCATAAAAGTACAGTGGGCTAAAGCACATATTTTTGTCCACTACTATAGAAGTGTAAATTCATGCAGTCTTTTCTGGGGGCAATTTGATAGTATTCAGTTATCAGAATGGTTTTGACTATAGATAACAGAAAGTTCTCTTGATTGATTGATTGATTGCCATGCCGTGCCATGCGGCATGAGGGATCTTAGTTACCCTACCAGGGATCAAACCCATACCCCCTAGAGTGGAAGCACAGAGTCTTAACCACTGGACCACCAAGGAAGTCCCGAAAACTCAATTTAAATTGACTTAAAAAATAAGGAAATGTATTGGCTCGCTTCAGACTTCAGAGTGGATTGACTGAATGGTTTGACAATGTATTTAAATGCCTAGATTTTTTCCATCTCTTTGTTCTATGGTCCACGGTGCTTGCTTTATCTTGAGCCTAACTTCCCTTGTAGTGTAGGATAACTGCCAACAGTAATTGAAGTATGTGCTTCCTTAGCTATAACTGGTGGCAGAGATAATACCTCTTGGCAAACCATTTAATAAGGATTCTTCCTGTCAATTCCTTTGGGCCTATGAGGCCATGTGCCTACCCAGAACCAATAATTGGTGCCAAAGAAATGCCTGTACTGATTGGCTTAAACCTGGGTTCCATACCACTCTCTAGTACAAAGGGATGGGATTGCAATGATTTTAGATCAAAGATTTAGATGAGGGATTTTAGACCAAGAGTCTACACGCTAGGCCCCAGGGCCAAATCTGGTCTACCACCTATTGTAAATAAAGTTTTATTCGAACATAGTTACAGCCATTCTTTTCCTTATTGTTTATGGCTGCTTTTGCATTACAGTGGAAGAGTTGAGTAGTTGGGACAGAGACCAAATGGCCCACAAATGAAAAATGCTTACTATCTGACCCTCTAGAGAAGTTTGCTGACCTCTGGTTTAGAGTAATCAGGAGCCATCCCTGGATCTGTGGCCAGTTGTATACACTGTATTACTGTGCTCAGTAAAGTAGGGTGGAATGGATATTGGAGAGTCAGCCATTCACAATATCCAGTATATTTTGTTTCCATAAAAATGTTTATCCGTTTGGCCCAGTAATTGTTCTCTTAGAGGTTTAATTTCCAGAATTAATCTTAGTTGATGCAAAGCTCTATCTAAGAGATTCTTTCAGTCATTTATAATAATGAATTATCAGTGACTAAGTAAGTATTGATTTATTTTGTATATAATTTCCAAACAACAAAAAAGATTCTGGGTGGGTTTTTTTTATTGTTGTAAAGATGTTTCATGGCATGTTAAGTGAAAAAAGTTTGCCCAGCTACATATCAAGCCCATGATTCCAATTTTATAATTAAATATATATTAATTGAAAAGAGTAGGAGGAAAGACAGCAACAGTTTGGTGAGAATATTGGCTGTATTTTTAAGAAGGAAATACACTTTTCTGTATTCTAGCTTTCTGGATGAATATGTATTCTTTCTTCAAACAGAAAAAAAGTAAATTTTTAAAAAGTGAATGAAACTAACATGTACTAGTACAGTGTTTCAACCTTTCAAAATAGTTTATACTTGTAAAATACACATAACATATAATTAACCATCTTAACTATTTCTAAGTGTACAGTTTCATGGTGTTAAGTATGTTCCTGTTGTTGTACTATTATCATCCATCTTTAAAACTCTTTTCATTGTGCAAAACTGAAACTCTGTACCCATTAAACACTAACTCCTCGTTCTCCCTTTCTCCCACCTGCTGGCAACCACCCTTCTACTTTCTGTCTCTATGAATTGGGCTACTCTAGGTTCCTCATATAAATGAAATCATAAGTGTTTCTTTTTGTGACTGGTTTATTTCACTTAGCATAGTGTCCTCAAGGTTCATCCATGTACAACAGATGTCCGAATTTCCTCCCTTTTTAAGGATGAATAATATTCCATGTATGTACATACCACATTTTGGCTGTCATGAATAATGCTGCTGTGAACATGGGTCTATGTATGTCTCTTCAAGACCTTGCTTTCAGTTTTTTGGAGTGTATACCCAGAAGTGGTATTGCTGGATCACATGGTAGTTCTATTTTTAATTTTTTGAGGAACTGCCATCTTTTCCACAGTAGCTACATCACTTTACATTCCTAATAACAGTGCATAAGTGTTCCGATTTATTCTCATCCTCTCCAACACTTGTTATTTTCAGGTTTTTTGATAGTAGCCATCCCTAATAGGTATGAGGTGATATCTCCTGGGTTTGATTTGCATTTTCCTAATGATTAGTTATGTTGAGCACCTTTTCATGTGCTTTTTGGCCACTTGCATATCTTCCTTGTAGAAATGTGTATCCAAATCCTTTGCCCATTTTTAATCAGGTTTGTTTTTTTGTTGTTGAGTTGTAGGTTTCAAACTTTTTATTGCAACCCATAATAAAAAATGTTCTTCATTGAAACTTAGAGCACATGTGGATACATGTATCTGAAACAAAATTTTGCAAAATAATATTTAGCCTAGCCACATGCAGTGGCATTTATGATCAAGTAGACTTTATTTAATGTGGCAAATCACAGGTACACACTTTTTATATTGATTTAATAAAGTAAGGACATCTTTTAATGCAGTCTTGGTTTCTCTGTACTTGCAAAGCATTCAAATAAGCAATGTGTAAGGAGAGCACAGGAGATTATGGATGTTATGCTTTACTGGATATCACTTAGTGCCACTAAATGATTTAATCGTTTAAAAAAAGAAAAAACTCTCACCTGAGCAACTACGTGCTTGTTTTTTTCCTCTAGTTTAATTATCACCAGCGTTAGTTTTAGTGCAATATCTAACTGAACCCTGTTCCAGATTAATTTTTCTCAATTTTTATTCTGAAAAATGTCAAACCTACAGGAAAGTTGATAGAGTAATATATAATGAACACTTTATACCCTTCATCTGTGTTTATGAGTTGTTAACATTTTGCTTTTGTATTACATTGTTTTATATGTGTTCATTTTTCTCCCTGAATCATAATAATTTTAAAGTAATTTGTAGACACCATGGTACTTCATCCCTAAATACTTTAGGACAGCAGTCCCCAACCTTTTTGGCACCAGGGACCAGTTTCACGGAAGACGGTATTTCCATGGATTGGAGGCGGGGCAGGGGGGATGGTTCAGGCAGTAATGCGAGCGATGGGGAGTGGCATATGAAGCTTTCCTCGCTCGCCGGCCGCTCACCTCCTGCTGTGCAGCCTGATTCCTAACAGGCCCTGGATATATTTCTTAAGCATAAGGGTACATTCCTACATAGACAAAATATCATTTTCACATTCAAGAAATTTAACATTGATATAATAAATGCTATCTAATGTACAGTCCATTTTCAGATTTCCCCAGATGTCATAATAATGTTCTATAAGCTGGTTGCTTTTCTTAATCTGGAGACCAAGGATCATTTATTGCATTGTTAGCTTTCTTTAATCTCAAACAGTGCCACCACCTCGCTCTTTTTTTGTTTCTCTTTGTTTTTATGACATTGGCCTTTTAATTTTTTTTTTTTAAGAATCCAGATTAGTTGCATTATAATATTAGATTTGTCTGATTGTTGTCACTAGTTTCAGATTAAATTTTTTTGGCAAGAATACAGGTGGTGGTGTGTCCTTCTCGGGGCATCACATCAGGAGCCCCATAACTGTTTGTATTATTATTGGCAATGTGAAATTTGATGATCTGATTCAGGTGGTGGTTGCCAGGTTTCTTTAAATTAGGTACTTGTTTTTTCTCTTTGCAATTAATAGGTAAACTGTGGGTTGATAAATTTGAAGATATGTGAATATCCTGTTGCCCAACAACCTTTCACAATAGTTTTAGCATCCATTGGTAATTTTTACCTGAACCATGATAGATGCTTGGTGATTTTCTGATTCTATCATAAATTCTGTATGTTTTAGCTATTATACTTATGTAAAGAAGAGTTTTCCCCCTCCCTTCTTTTCTTTTTTCTTGTTTTAAAGTATCATTGTGGACTCATGGATTTTCTGATTTAATTTTGATTGACTCCATTTCAGGTTCTCTTTTATATTTCTCCAGTGAATAAATTGGTGGGTGCCCTGATGACGGTGTTATCCCTTTTTCCAGGTAAGAGCGTAGCGGTTTCTACTCTTCCTTTTTATAATTTGTCCTGGACCTTTTTTAAAAAAAATTAATTTATTTGTTTATTTTTGGCTGCATTGGGTCTTTGTTGCTGCGCGCGAGCTTTCCTTAGTTGCGGTGAGTGGGGGCTACTCTTCATTGCGGTGCGTGGGCTTATCATTGTGGTGGCTTCTCTTGTTGCAGAGCACGGATCTAGGTGTGCGAGCTTCAGTAGTTGTGGCACATGGGCTCAGTAGTTGTGGCGCCGGGCTTAGTTGCTCAGCGGCATGGTGGATCTTTCTGGACCAGGGCTTGAACCACTGTACCACGAAGGAAGCCCTGTCCTGGACTTTGTTTTTTTTAATATTTATTTATTTATATTTTTTTGAATTTTATTTTGTTTTTTATACAGCAGGTTCTTATTAGGTATCTATTTTATACATATTAGTATGTATACTTATTTATTTTTGGCTGCATTGGGTCTTCGTTGCTACCCGCGGGCTTTCTGTAGTTGTGGTGAGCAGGGGTTATTCTTCGTTGTAGTGCGCGGGCTTCTCATTCCAGTGGCTTCTCTTATTACAGACCATGGGCTCTAGGCACGTGGGCTTCATAGTTGTGGCACATGGGCTCAGTAGTTGTGGCTCGCAGGCTCAGTAGTTGTGGCGCATGGGCTTAGTTGCTCCACTGCATGTGGGATCTTCCTTGACCAGAGCTCAACTCCATGTCCCCTGCATTGGCAGGCGGATTCTTAACCACTGCTCCACCAGGGAAGTCCATGAACCTTTGAATGATAAAAATTTTCAAGGAAAAAGTGGTTAGGGTTACCATTCTATTTTTTTTTCCTCCAGAAGTTTATTTATTTTTATTTTTTAAAGAAATATTTATTTACTTATTTGGCTGCACTGGGTCTTAGTTGCAGCACGTTGGATCTTCGTTGTGGCACACGGGATCTTTTAGTTGAGACATGGGGTAATCTTTTTTTAATTAATTTATTTTTAAAAAATTTATTTTATTTTTGTCTGTGTTGGGTCTTCGTTGCTGCACACGAGCTTTCCCTAGTTGCGGCAAACGTGGGCTACTCTTCATTGTGGTGCACGGGCTTCTCATTGCGGTGGATTCTCTTGTTGCAGAGCACAGTCTCTAGGTACACAGGCTTCAGTAGTTGTGGCTCACGGGTTCTGAGTGCAGGCTCAGTAGTTGTGGCGCACGGGCTTAGTTGCTCCATGGCATGTGGGATCTTTCTGGACCAGAGCTCGAACCTGTGTCTCCTCTGGACCAGAGCTCGAACCTGTGTCTCCTGCATTGGCAGGCAAATTCTTAACCACTGTGCCACCAGGGAAGCGACATGAGGGAATCTATTAGCTGTGGCATGTGAGATCTAGTTCCCTGACATTTTCACTTTGGCTGTAGGTTTCTCTTTTGTCTGACATTTTCTTTTCTCTCTCATTTTTTTTTAATTTTTTTATAAGCAGGTTATTATTAGACATCAATTATATACACATCAGTGTATACATGTCAATCCCAATCTCCCAATTCATCACACCACCACCACCCCACCCCCCGCTGCTTTCCCCCCTTGGTGTCCATACATTTGTTCTCTACACCTGTGTCTCTATTTCTGCCCAGCAAACTGGTTCATCTGTACCATTTTTCTAGGTTCCGCATATATGTGTTAATATACGATATTTGTTTTTCTCTTTCTGACTTACTTCACTCTGTATGACAGTCTCCAGATCCACACAAGTCTCTACAAATGACCCAGTATTGTTCCTTTTTATGGCTGAGTAATATTTCATTGTATATATGTACCACATCTTCTTTATCCATTCGTCTGTCGATGGGCATTTAGGTTGCTTCCATGACCTGGCTATTGTAAATAGTGCTGCAGTGAACATTGGGGTGCATGTGTCTTTTTGAATTATGGTTTTCTCTGGATATATGCCCAGGAGTGGAATTGCTGGGTCATATGGTAGTTCTATTTTTAGTTTTTTAAGGAACCTCCATACTGTTCTCCATAGTGGCTGTATCAATTTACATTCCCACCAACAGTGCAAGAGGGTTCCCTTTTCTCCACACCCTCTCCAGCATTTGTTGTTTGTAATTTTCCTGATGATGCCCATGCTAACTGGTGTGAGGTGATACCTCATTGCATTTCTCTAATAATTAGTGATGTTGAGCTGCTTTTCATGTGCCTCTTGGTCATCTGTATGTCTTCTTTGGAGTAATGTCTATTTAGGTCTTCTGCCCATTTTTGGATTGGGTTGTTCTTATCTTTAATATTGAGCTGCATGAGCTATTTATATATTTTGGAGATTAATCCTTTGTCCATTGATTTGTTTGCAAATATTTTCTCCCATTCTGAGGGTTGTCTTTTCCTCTTGTTTGTGGTTTCCTTTGCTGTGCAAAAGCTTTTAAGTTTCATTGGGTCCCATTTATTTATTTTTGTTTTTATTTCCATTACTCTAGGAGGTGGATCAAAAAAAGATCTTGCTGTGATTTATGTCAAAGAGTGTTCTTCCTATGTTTTCCTCTGAGTTTTACAGTGTCCAGTCTTACATTTAGGTCTCTAATCCATTTTGAGTTTATTTTTGTGTATGGTGTTAGGGAGTGTTCTAATTTCATTCTTTTACATGTAGCTGTCCAGTTTTCCCAGCACCACTTACTGAAGAGACTGTCTTTTCTCCATTGTATATCCTTGCCTCGTTTGTCATAGATTAGTTGACTGTAGGTGCGTGGATTTATCTCTGGGCTTTCTATCCTGTTCCATTGATCTATATTTCTGTTTATGTGCCAGTACCATATTGTCTTGATTACTGTAGCTTTGTAGTACAGTCTGAAGTCAGGGAGTCTGATTCCTCCAGCTCTGTTTTTTTCCCCTCAAGACTGCTTTGGCTCTTCAGGGTCTTTTGTGTCTCCATACAAATTTTAAGATTTTTTTTTCTAGTTCTGTAAAAAAATGCTATTGGTAATTTGATAGGGATTGCACTGAATCTGTAGATTGCTTTGGGTAGTATAGTCATTTTCACATTATTGATTCTTCCAATCCAAGAACATGGTATATCTCTCCATCTGTTTGTATCATCTTTAATTTCTTTCATCAGTGTCTTATACTTTTCTGCATACAGGTCTTTTGTCTCATTAGGTAGATTTATTCCTAGGTATTTTATTCTTTTTGTTGCAATGGTAAATGGGAGCGTTTCCTTCATTTCTCTTTCAGATTTTTCATCATTAGTGTATAGGAATGCAAGAGATTTCCATGCATTAATTTTGTATCCTGCAACTTTACCAAATTCATTGATTAGTTCTAGTAGTTTTCTGGTGGCATCCTTAGGATTCTCTATGTATAGTATCATGTCATCTGCCAACAGTGACAGTTGTACTTCTTTTCCAATTTGTATTCCTTTTATTTCTTTTTCTTCTCTGATTGCCGTGGCTAGGACTTCCAAAACTATGTTGAATAATAGTGGTGAGACTGGACATCCTCGTCTTTTTCCTGATCTTAGAGGAAATGCTTTCAGTTTTTCACCATTGAGAATGATGTTTGCTATGGGCTTGTCGTGTATGGCCTTTATTATGTTGAAGTAGTTTCCCTTTATGCCCACTTTCTGGAGAGTTTCTTTCATAAATGGGTGTTGAATTTTGTCAAAAGCTTTTTCTGCATCTATTGAGATGATCATATGGTTTTTATTCTTCAACTTGTTAATATGGTGTATCACATTGATTTGCATATATTGAAGAATCCTTGCATCCCTGGGATAAATCCCACTCGATCATGGGGGTGTTGGTCACTTAACATCCTTTTAATTTGTTGTTGGGTTCTGTTTGCTAGTATTTTGTTGAGGATTTCTGCATCTATATTCATCAGTGATATTGGTCTGTAATTTTTTTTTTTTTTTTTTTTTTTTTTTGTGGTACGTGGGCCTCTCACTGTTGTGGCCTCTCCCGTTGCGGAGCACAGGCTCCGGACGCGCACGATCAGCGGCCATGGCTCACAGGCCCAACCGCTCCGCGGCATGTGGGATCCTCCCGGACCGGGGAACGAACCCTCATCCCCTGCATAGGCAGGCAGACTCTCAACCACTGCGCCACCAGGGAAGCCCCATGTAATTTTCTTTTTTTGTAGTATCTTTGTCTGGTTTTTGTATCAGGGTGATGATGGTGGCCTCGTAGAATGAGTTTGGGAGTGTTCCTTCCTCTGCAGTGTTTTTTTTTTTTTTTTTTTTGCGGTACACGGGCCTTTCACTGTTGTGGCCTCTCCCATTGCAGAGCACAGGGTCCGGACGCACAGGCTCAGGGGACATGGCTCATGGGCCTAGCCGCTCCGCGGCATGTAGGATCTTCCTGGACCGGGGCATGAACCCATGTCCCCTGCATCGGCAGGCAGACTCTCAACCACTGCGCCACCAGGGAAGCCCCCTCTGCAGTTTTTTGGAAGAGTTTGAGAAGGATGGGTGTTAGCTCTTCTCTAAATGTTTGATAGAATTCACCTGTGAAGCCATCTGATCCTGGACTTGTGTTAGTTGGAAGATATTTAATCACAGTTTCAATTTCATTACTTGTGATTGGTCTGTTCATTTCTGCGGTGTCTCTTGTAACATCTCCTTTTTCATTTCTGATTTTATTGATCTGAGTCCTCTCCCTCTTTTTCTTCATGAGTCTGGCTGGCTAATGGTTGATCAATTTTGTTTATCTTCTCAAAGAACCTGCTTTTAGATTTATTGATCTTTGCTATTGTTTTCTTTGTTTCTATTTCATTTATTTCTGCTCTGATCTTTATGATTTATATCCTTCTGCTAACTTTGGGTTTTGTTTGTTCTTCTTTCTCTAGTTCCTTTAGGTGTAAGGTTAGATTGTTTGAGATGTTTCTTGTTTCTTGATGTAGGATTGTATAGCTAAAAATTCCCTCTTAGAACTGCTTTTGCTGCATCCCATGGGTTTTGGATCGTTGTGTTTTCACTGTCATGTGTCTCTAGGTATTTTTTGATTTCTTCAGTGATCTCCTGGTTATTTAGTAACATATTGTTTAGCCTCCATGTGTTTGTGTTTTTTACGTTTGTTTCCCTGTAATTGATTTCTGATCTCATAGCCTTGTGGTCAGAAAAGATGCTTGATATGATTTCAATTTTCTTAACTTTACTGAGGCTTGATTTGTGACCCAAGATGTGATCTATGCTGGAGAATGTTCCATGAGCACTTGAGAAGAAAGTGTAATCTCTTGTTTTTGGATGGAATGTCCTATAAATATCAATTAAATCTATCTGGTCTGCTGTGTCACTTAAAGGTTGTGTTTCCTTATTAATTTTCTGCCTGACTGATCTGTCCACTGGTGTAAGTGAGGTGTTAAAGTCCCCCACTATTATTGTGTTACTGTCAATTACCTCTTTTATAGCTGTTAGCAGTTGCCTTATGTATTGAGGTGCTCCTAGGTTGGTTGCATATATATTTATAATTGTTATATGTTCTTCTTGGATTGATCCCTTGATCATCATGTAGTGTCCTTCCTTGCCTCTTGTAACATTCTTTATTTTAAAGTCTATTTTATCTGATATGAGTATGGCTACTCCAGCTTTCTTTTGATTTCCATTTGCATGGAATAGCTTTTTACATCCCCTCACTTTCAGTCTGTATGTATCCCTAGGTCTGAAGTGGGTCTCTTGTAGACATCATATATGTGAGTCTTGTTTTTGTATCCATTCAGCGAGCCTTTGTCTTTTGGTTGGGGCTTTTAATCCATTCACATTTAAGGTAATTATCGATATGTATGTTCCTATGACCATTTTCTTAATTATTTTGGGTTTGTTTCTGTAAGTCCTTTTCTTCTCTTGTGTTTCCCACTTAGCAAAGTTCCTTTAGCGTTTGTTGTTGAGCTGGTTTGGTGGTGCTGAAATCTCTTAGCTTTTGCTTGTCTGTAAATCTTTTGAGTTCTCCATTGAATCTGAATGAGATCCTTGCCAGGTGGAGTAGTCTTGGTTGTAGGTTCTTCCCTTTCAACACTTTAAATATGTAGTGCCACTTCCTGCTGGCTTGTAGAGTTTCTGCTGAGAAATCAGCTGTTAATGTTTCATGAATTCCCTTGTATGCTATTTGTCGTTTTTCCCTTGTTGCTTTTAATAATTTTTCTTTGTCTTTAATTTTTGTCAACTTGATTACTATGTGTCTCGGTGTGTTTCTCCCTGTGTCTATCCTGCCTGGGACTCTGCGCTTCCTGGACTTGGGTGGCTATTTCCTTTCCCATGTTAGGGAAGTTTTTGACTATAATCTCTTCAAATAATTTTTCGGGTCCTTTCTCTCTCTCTTTTCCTTCTGGGACCCCTATTATGTGAATGTTATTGCGTTTAATGTTGTCCCAGAGGTCTCTTAGACTGTCTTCATTTCTTTTCACTTTTTTTTCTTTATTCTGTTCCACAGCAGTGAATTCCACCATTCTGTCTTCCAGGTCATTTATCCGTTCTTCTGCCTCAGTTATTCTACTATTGATTCCTTCTAGTGTATTTTTCATTTCAGTTACTGTATTGTTCATCTCTGTTTGCTCCTTAATTCTTCTAGGTCTTTGTTAAACATATCTTCTTGATCTTTGACTCCGATCTTTTTCTGAGGTCCTGGATCATCTTCACTGTCATCATTCTGAATTCTTTTTCTGGAAAGTTGCCTATCTCCACTTCATGTAGTTGTTTTTCTGGGGTTTTATTTTGTTCCTTCATCTGGTACATAGTCCTCTGCCTTTTCATCTTGTCTATCTTTCTGTGAATGTAGTTTTTGTTCCACAGGCTGCAGGATTGTAGTTCTTCTTGCTTCTGCTCTCTGTTCTCTTTTTTCTCATTGAAATTTGTGCAAGCATAGCTTATTAAAATTTTTATAGGAGAGTTCCACTATTTTGATTGTATTTTTAAAATTTTTATTTTATTTTTTTTATACAGCAGGTTCTTATTAGTTATCTACTTTGTACATATTAGTGTGTACATGTCAATCCCAATCTTCCAATTCATCCCACCACCCCCCCCACGTCCCACACTTCCCCCTTGGTGTCCATACATTTGTTGTCTACATCTGTGTCTCTACTTCTGACTTGCAAACCGGTTCATCTGTACCATTTTTCTAGATTCCACATATATGCGTTAATATACGATATTTGTATGTCTCTTCTGACTTACTTCAAGGGAGTTCCACTATTTAAAGCAGAATATACAACTCTTGTTTTTCCTTTACCTTATTATGAGCCGAACTGTTCACCAATATTGTATGTTTTAGGCATGATTGAACATGGTCTCAGTGATAGTTCTCAATATAGACCCCGAAAGAGTATGTCTGAAGATGTTGGGCTTCAAGAAAGTAGTCCCACTGAAGATGAGTTTGTTTCTATGCCTGCTCCTTACATTTCAAATACCAACTTGGAAACTGTTGAGAAAATCATGATGAGAAATCATGGAAGAGATGCTGCCATGAAGACTGAAGAGCCTTTTTTCCAGGTAGATGATGACAGCAGTGAAGGACAGGAACCCAATGACAGCAATCAATATTTGAAACCTCCTTCTCGCCCATCTCCAGAGTCTTCAGAAAGTGACTGGGAGACCTTGGATCCTAGTGTCTTAGAGGATTCCTCCTTGAAAGAAAGAGAACAGGTGGGATCAGAACAGACAAACTCATTTCCAAAGGACTCTTTGCCCTCAGACAGTCCTCCGATTACTGTACAACCTCAAGCTAACACAGGCCAGGTAGTCCTGATACCAGGGATAATTTCTGGTTTGGAAGAGGACCAGTATGGCATGCCTCTGGCCATCTTCACAAAGGTAAGGTTTAAAATGCTTTATTAAGGCCCTTAAGGATATAACAAAATCCTTTTAGAATTTAACTTTTAGTGTTAAACACATTTTCAGTCTGAAAATTTTTCTTTGACTGTAAAATACACAGTGCTTTGGCATCTGTGACCATAGTGTAAGGCTACAGAGAATTAATTCAGGAGATTTTGAGGTCACCAATCACTGTATTTGGTCTGTTTTTAATTATTCAGGTTTATCTTTGGTGGGGGAGGAGGCAGTCTTGATTACATTAAATGAATGTATATTAAAATACGACAATTCCAAAAGCTACAAAAAAGCTTAGATGGCTAACTTAAATTTTAGTACCCCTCATAGGTATAATATAGTGTTTTGGTTAACTTGCCCTAAAAACTATTTTTTAATCTTTTTATGAAAAAACATTCAAAATGCATTTATGATTTAACTTAAACACAACGTAGTAAATCTAATTGAATCTTTGAGCCAGTATCTTATGTCCTAGGGTATCATTTCTTAATTTCAGGAATATTTTAGGATTCTGGAAGCAACATCTGGGTTCTTTTGATTTTTCATTCTATTCAGGAGAAACTCCTTATTTTATTGCCATTCATGAATTAGTTTTCAAAATGGAGCAGAAGAAAAAAAATCCTTTTTTAAAAAAAAATAAAATTTATTTATTTATTTATGGCTGCATTGGGTTTTCACTAATGTGCACAGGCTTCCTCTAGTTGCAGCGAGCGGGGGCTATTCTTCATTGTGGTGCGTGGGTTTCTCATTATGGTGGGTTCTCTTGCTGCGGAGCATGGTCTCTAAGCGCACGGCCTTCAGTAGTTGTGGCAGACGGGCTTAGTTGTTCCACGCTATGTGGAATCTTCTCGGATCAGGAATCGAACCAGTGTCTCCTGTATAGGCAAGCGGATTCTTAACCACTGTGCCACCAGTGAAGTCCCCCATTTCATTTTTTAGTCAAAAAGTATTTATTGCCTTCCTATGTGCTAGGCTCGTACTAGGTTCTAAATTCTTGCAACCATGGTCTTGCAATCTACCATGAAAGACAGATACATCTGTCCAGTAACTAGAGCAATGTTTTATGATTTCCCTAAGTACCTTCCTTTATGCCTGAAGTAAAAGAAATTGGATAGTATTGACTTGAACATGTATTTACACTATATGATAAATTCTTTCTGGGTGTATTCAGTTTTACAAATAAGTACTTGCCCCAAGTCAGTGTTGCTGAATAGTTAACAGAAAATGCTGTCTTTGTTCATTTTGTGACCTGTTAGGGGATGCTGAAATTATCTTAATTGGTTGCATGATTGAACTAATGCACATTTTCTTAAAACTGGGATTCAGGAGCCTGGGGAGAAAATTCAGGGCTCTCAAACTACTGAGTATACTCAATAGATGTAAATTGTGGGTTTTCTGAATTCATATGTGAGTGTCATGACTGCCTATACTTTTTGGAGCCCTTACTTTGCTGCTTCACCCACCCACTCTAATTTTTATCACTGTGGAGATATCAAGAGGGAGGGATTTTGTTTTTGTCTGCTAGGTTGCTGAATTAAAGCAATGTTAATGTGTTCCGTGTGCTGTTAATAAACTGTTTGGCAGAATATTCTTTTTGTGTCCATTATACCAGTACTGAATATATGATGGGCTGACCACCATCATTATGGTAAATTAAACTTTTTTTTTGGTTTTATGTTTTATTGTGTGATGATTCAAATCTAACTTGTTTAATCACAGTTTCAAATACAATCGCTGATTCTTTCATGTCAGTAGGTTTCAAATATGGAATATACTTAAAAGTGAATTGCCTTTAGGCTTTTTTTTTCTCTTGAAGATGTTAAAAATACTTGTACAGAAGAACTGGGTTAAAAAGCATATTTAAAAATATATATATTTTTTATTTATTTATTTTTGGCTGTGTTGGGTCTTCGTTGCTGCACATGGGGTTTCTTTATTTGTGGCGAGCGGGGGCTACTCTTTGTTGTGGTGTGCAGGCTTCTCATTGCAGTGGCTTCTCTTGTTGAGGAGCACGGGCTCTAGGTGCATGGGCTCAGTAGTTGTGGCTCACGGGCTCTGGAGTGCAGGTTCAGTAGTTGTGGCGCACGGGCTTAGTTGCTCTGTGGCATGTGGGATCTTCCTGGACCAGGGCTCAAACCTGTGTCCCCTGCATTGGCAGGAGGATTCTTAACCACTCTACCACCAGGGAAGCCCACAGTTTGCAACTGTTTTAGTAAAAAAAAATATATGAAAGAATTAAAAGTATATGTAGTTGGAAACCAAAATTTTTTTCTGCCATATGTATTAAACTGCTTTATGTATTGCTTCTGAGTTTATATTTGGTTTGCTTGCTTACAGAGTATCATATTCAAATTTAGGGAACCTACAGATAACTTGTGACTAGCTAAAAAGTAATGGATGCATGTTTTTTAGTTTTATTTAAGTGTCACTCTACTATTTTTTTTCCTCTCAACATTGTTTTTAGTTCATCCGTAATTTTGCATGAAGTCGTGTATTATTATTCCTCTGTAGTTTTCTGTTTTCGGCTCTTCTGTAGCTTACGAATTCTGTGGATGGACATCTACATTGTTTTCAATTTCTGGCTACTACAAATAATGCTTCTATGAAATTCTTATTTGGAAGTCTTGGCTGTATACATGCAAACATTTCTTTAGGATTCAGTACCTAGAAGTGGGAATACTGGATTACAGGGAATGGGTATGTTAGCTTTACTAGAATAATTCCAAACTGTTTTCTAAAGTGGTTGTGACAGTTTCCATTCCCATAGCAGTGGTTAAGAGTTCCCATTGTTTCACATTCTTACCAACACTTGTTATTGTCAAACTTCCTAATACTTAGCCAATCTGATAGTATCTTCTGGCTCTTAGTTTGTAATTATTTTTCAGTAGTCACTGTTGAGGTTGAGCATCTTTTCATGTTCTTCTTAACCATTTGGATTTCCCTTTGTGTAGTAATTGTTCAAAGCTTCTGGGTTGTTTCCCTTGTCACTGATTTGTGGGACTTAAAGCTTTGTAGTTTTGGCTTTCACATTTTGGGTTTTATCTACCTGGAATTAATTTTTGTGTATGGTTGAGAAAGGGAGTCTGTCTCTGAGTTTTTTGTTGTTTCATTGGTGTATCTGTCTATCCCTGCGTCAGTCCTGCACTGTGTTAATTACCATGTATGTTGAGTCAGGCAGATGTTCCCCTCTTGCTATTGTTCTTCAAGAGTTTCTTAGCCCTTTGCATTTCCACATTAATTTTAGGATCATCTTAAGTTCTCACTCACATAGGTTGAGATTTTGAGAGATTACCTTTAAACGCTAGATAAAATTTTGTAGAGAACTGACATCCCTGCAGTATGGAGGCTTCCAGTTCATGAACATGCTTATCGTCCCTGAACAGGGGAGAGATGAGAAAATGGCAGTTGGTCCTGATGGCATTGTAGCCCTTCCTAAGTTGCAATGGAGAAAGCACTATGCTTTTGCAGCTCTCTAGCAGATCAGATCACAACAGGTTGCCAGATTTACCAAGCTGAGGTGTGTTTTTTGATGTTATTTGTTTTTTAGTTTTAATTGTGGTTTAAAAAAAAAAACCATAAGATTTATCTTTACCATTTTTTTAAAATTTATTTTTATTTTTTTCTTTATTTTTGGCTGCGTTGGGTCTTTGTTGTGCGTGGGCTTTCTCTAGTTGCGGCGAGCGGGGGCTACTCTTCGTTGCGGTGTGTGGGCTTCTCATTGCGGTGGCTTCTCTTGTTGTGGAGCATGGGCTCTAGGGACACGGGCTTCAGTAGTTGTGGCACGTGGGCCTAGTAGTTGTGGCTCACAGGCTCTAGAGCTCAGGCTTTAGTAGTTGTGGTGCACGGGCTTAGTTGCTTTGCGGCATGTGGGATCTTCCCAGACCAGGGCTCAAACCTGTGTCCCCTGCATTGGCCGGCGGATTCTTAACCACTGTGCCACGAGGGAAGCCCCATCTCTACCATTTTTTTAAATTAATCAATTAATTAATTTATTTTTGGCTGTGTTGTGTCTTTGTTTCTGTGTGAGGGCTTTCTCTAGCTGTGGTAAGCGGGGGCCACTATTCATCGTGGTGTGCGGGCCTCTCACTATCGCGGCCTCTCCTGTTGCGGAGCACAGGCTCCAGACGCGCAGGCTCAGAAGTTGTGGTACACGGGCCTAGTTGCTCTGTGGCATGTGGGATCTTCCCAGACCAGGGCTCGGACCTGTGTTCCCTGCATTAGCAGACAGATTCTCAACCACTGTGCCACCAGGGAAGCCCATCTCTACCATTTTTAAGTGCACAATTCAGTGGTGTTAAGTGTATTCTCATGGTTGTACTACAGATGTCTAGAACTTTCTCATCTTGCAAAACTGAAACTCTATAACCTTTAAACCACAACTCCCCATTCTCCCCTCACCCCAGCCCTTGGCACCCATCATTGTTTCCATGAACTTGACTACTTTAAAATACCTTACATAAGTGGAATCATAATACAGCATTTATCTTTTTGTGACTGTCCTCTTTCAGTTAACATAATGTCCTCAAGGTTCATCCATGTTGTAGCATATGATAGGATTTCCTTCCTCCTCAAGGCTGAATAATATTCCATTGTACGTATATACCACATTTTCTTTATCCATTTATCCATCGATGGACATATGGGTTGCTTCTACCTTTTGCCTATTTTGAGTAGTGTGGCTGTGAGCATAGGTGTGCAAATATCTCTTCGATTTTCTTTTTTTTTTTAACCATTATATACTGCAGCTCCAAATGTGGAAGTTAAAGCATCCTAGAAAAGTGGAAAGCCATGGTGAGTTTGGCTGTAGAGGCTGCTCTATGTGAAAGTACCCAGGTTCTTGCTGCCACCAGACACTGAAGACCTTTAAAAGATTTAGGCTAAATTGACCATCGTTAAAAGTAATGATGGCAAAATTTTAAGGCCATTTTGATCTACTATTTAAAATAACTTTATAAATATGTAATACTTTCACATGGTTCAATATTCAAAAGGTTCCAAAGCATCTATAATAAAAAGTCTCTCTCATTCCATACCCTGCTATTCAGTTGCTCTCTCCAGGGGCAACCAACCTTATCTATATCTTTTTTTTTTTTTTAAGCAAAATATTCCTTGGAGATGAACTTCATCACTTGCTGCAGTTGTTCCATCATACAGAAGAACATTTATTCATTGCCCTGTTCATGAATAGTTAGGGTTCCTGTCTTTTGCAATGATAAACAATGCTGCAATAAATAACTTTTTACAAATCTCACACATGAACAGGTGTATCTGTAGGGTACATTACAAGAAGTAAAATGTCGGGTCAAAGAATATATGTATGTATAATATTTTAGGGAAATTTTTTTTCATATTTTTAAAAAGCTTTGAACTGTTGTTTTTTTTAAAAAAACACATTCTTAGTTTTCATGCTGTTATAGACTTAGCCAAGAATTCCACTGTTGACGGTAGACTTTTCTTCTCTAACAGAATCAATTATGAAATGCAATACTATGAGCAATTAAATCAATCTTTGTAAAAATTGGCAGTTCTGAGGGTGCCTTTATCAAGAAGGATTCTCAGGCCTAGTTGGGGGAGTAGGGTATTCTGGGGTCCATATCAAGTTTGAAAGAGCATTCAATATTGTAGTATTTATGTTTAGAAACAGGTAGTTGGGGAGCGGGGAGCCTGTTGTTTTTAATACATAGCACACAAAGTAAAGTGTGACCTGTGAGCCTTGCACCAGCTGTTTGAGTGATTTGGCCTAAGGACCAGGGGTCCTTTCCACCTTTAGTCACAAGAGGGTGTGGGTTGAGAAGCACTGTTTACTCAGTATGTCTAATGCATAGACATAGATTTATTTTTGCTGCTTCTGTTAGTTGGCGTTTTATAGAGCAGAGGAAGACACTGTCAAGAAGAATAAAACCAGGTTTCTAGACATATATTCCAACTTTTGGAAGTCTTCTTTCATGTTAAGTATATAACAACCAGCTGTGAGGTACAAGGCAGATGGTAGATGCACGGAAGGACCTGCAGTAGCAGAAGGGGTGTCTCCTGCCCTCCGAGAAATTCGTCTCATGAGGGAAACAAGACACTATCCAGATAACTGTAGTCAGTGTTTCTTAAAAAAAGAAGGTGAGAATAAAAAATAAATGAATGAAACTGTCATCAAACTTGATTGAAACAAATTCAGGGTTTCAGCAAGTCCTCCCTCCTGCCTTCACGTGCAGATTGTGCACTAGTTGGAAATCTATCTTGATATAGAATCTTTCAGCAGAAATTCCATTTCCTCCTTCAGTGCATCACTCCAGTGCTAACACCTTTATTTTCAGGATATAGGCTGCTTTCTGTACACTTAACTCCCTGCTGTGGCTTGGTGGTTAAAGTATAATTTTCAGGGCAATGGTATTTTCAAATGCAATTCAAATGGAAAGTAATTAAATACACTACTACCACTGTCATTTGTGCTTTAAACATTTAGTAGCAAGTGCCTTGAAATACTGCTGCATAATTTTAAACAATAGGACAGTAAAATAATTGCTATGCAGTGTTTTCTCTTCTTATAATAGTACTTTGCTGGTTATGTGCAAATGCACGTGTTTTAAAATTTTACTGGAAGAACAAACAGCTTTCGACTAAACAACATACTTTTTAATGGGCTTAATACTTCATTTCCGAAATGAAAAAAATTCAGTTTGTTAGTTACAGTGGAGGCTTTTAAGTTGAACCGAGGAACAAAGTGGTCAAGTAAGACAACCTTCATGGTAGACCATTTTGCCAAGATTGACCATTCATGCGGACCTATGGTTGTTATTATTGGAATATTATTGTGTTGAGTCAAAGATCAGCTGTGTTAGGAATGGTGTGGGGTTGGGGAAAGATGGGGAGTTTTTTTTCCTGCTATTAGCTCTCTAGGCTTGAGGAGAGACGGGCTGTTCCATTACTTTTCTAATATTTTCTATTACTCTTGTAATTCAGGGATATCTGTGTTTGCCTTATATGGCATTGCAGCAGCATCATCTTCTCTCTGATGTCACCATTCGAGGATTTGTTGCTGGAGCTACTAACATCCTTTTTCGACAACAGAAACACCTCAGTGATGCCATTGTGGAAGTAGGTTACATATGAGTGTGGGTCCTTGACACCGCTGGTCTGTTTTCCTTCTTTCTTTTTGTTTTTCTTTTTTTTTTAATGTCTTTATTGGAGTATAGTTGCTTTACAATGGTGTGTTAGTTTCTGCTGTACAACAAAGTGAATCAGCTATATATATACATATATCCCCATTTCTCCTCCCTCTTGCATCTCCCTCCCTCCCACCCTCCCTATCCCACCCCTCTAGGTGGTCACAAAGCACCGAGCTGATCTCCCTGTGCCATGCGGCTGCTTCCCACTAGATATCTATTTTACATTTGGTAGTGTATATATGTCCATGCCACTCTCTCAATCCATCCCAGCTTACCCTTCCCCCTCCCCGTGTCCTCAAGTCCGTTCTCTACGTCTGTGTCTTTATTCCGGTCGTGCCCCTAGGTTCTTCAGAATCTTTTTTTTTTCTTTAGATTCCATATATATGTGTTAGCATACGGTATTTGTTTTTCTCTTTCTGATTCCTTCTTTCTTAATTGGAATTTGGGGCGTAGTAATAATACTAATCGTGGTAATAATTGCTTCCTTTGCCAGGCATCCTAAGCGCCTTAGGTATATGAACTGGTCTGGTTTTCATAACAACCTTTGAAATAGGCATTGTTACTGTCTGTATTACACCTGCAGAAGCTAAGGAACAGAGAGATCAGACAGCCACTAACTGGATGAGCCAGGATTCCTACCTAGGCAATCTGGTCCTACTACAGTCTCACAATTAAAATGTGTTTATCGTATAAATATTTTAAATACTTCTAGCTTGTTTAATATGCCCCAATATCAAGAGGAAGGAACTAGAGATAAATATTTGACATCTTATTAATATATAAGAAATTTAAGTAAGTTGTTCAATTTTACAATTAAAGTAATTTTTACAAATGCGTGAGGGTGATTTCGGCCACCCTAAGGTTTTTGTAGTTTCTAACAGAAAGTACCAGAATGTGCTTCCTGGGAAAAAGTTTATAATACAATAAATGAAAAATCTGGGATTCAAAGCTATATGTATCCCAATTTTGAGGGAGAAAAATACATATACTTTCCAAGGCAGGAGGATACAGATGGGAGGACCACAGAGTTTTCTCAACATTATTGGTTACATTCTAGCTCTGAAGTTGGTTGGCAAGTTCATGGGTATTTGTTTTGTTATTATACTTTAAAACTGACCTGTAAGTTACATATATTTCTTTCTGTATCAAGTATTACATAATAAAAATATTCCAAAGTGTCTGTGCAATCAAAGGAAAAATTTTTAGGAATTATATTTAATTGTATGCATTTCTATTTGTATGAAAAAGGTGATTTTAACTATACATTTCTATATTTTCCAAAATATTTAGTCAACGTGAATTACTTCTATAATTCAAGATTAAATATTTATGCATATATTTTCTAAGAACAGAAAAGGAGCATTTTTAAAATAGTGAAAGAAAAAAAAACTTCAGTGTAAAAAACCTGTCTCTTTCTTAGGCTCACCTTTTGAGAACGCTGTTATTCATATTTTTTATTTCCAGCTCCAACTTCCCAGTAGTTACTCTTTAAAGTGTGGCATGGATATCTGCGTGAATGCCCAGACTCTGACTTATACCCGGGTACCCTCTAGGTAGAAGAAGCTCTGATCCAGATCCATGATCCAGAACTCAGGAAGCTGCTTAACCCAACCACTGCAGACCTAAGGTTTGCAGATTACCTAGTGAGGCATGTGACCGAGAACCGAGATGATGTCTTCCTGGATGGCACGGGCTGGGAGGGAGGTGACGAATGGATTCGAGCCCAGTTTGCAGTCTACATCCATGCACTGCTGGCCGCCACGCTGCAGTTAGGTAAGGAGCTCACAGCCTCTTTCTCATTTTGTAACTCTTACGATGTTTTGAATTGCATAAGAAACAAGTTTATGAAAAATTACCTGTCACTCCCTTATACAGACTTAACTACTCTTTGCATTTTGAGTACTTGATATCCTTCTAGACCTTTTTCTAAGCCTGTGTTTTGGATTTTAGTTTTGTGGTATTTGTGGTAGTCCTTTTACAAACATGGATCCCGTTTTTCATGTTTTTTATAACTTAGTTTTTCTTTATAATAGAAACATAAACATATTATCAAGAGAGTAAATGCAGATTTTCGTCACTTTTTACATGGCCCCTTAGTATTCCACCATATGGAAGGGTATATCAGTATTTGAGTGCTATTTATAAACACTGCTTACATGTTAAGATATATAATGGGTGAAAAGAGAAATATAAAAAATAGAAATCATTGAAAATCACATTCTGAGTGATTAGACCTTCAAATTTATCCCCCATTCTGAGAAATTTTATCCCTATTAAGTGGTTAAAATGGAACAGGCAAACATAGAATCACTGCTGAGTTAAAATTATCTCATTCCCCATGGAAAAGAATATATACAAGGAGAAAATGAAGCTCTGCAATGAGCTCTCACACCATGGACACCTACCACCCTGGACACTTAGCATATATTCAGTAGCTTTGGTGGTGGTGGTGTTGAAAGAGTATAGAGGTTTTGTTTTTCCTTCTTTTCAATTATCCAACTATTTCACAGTTGCTTTTTAAAAAAATGTAGTGGAATCCACATAACCTAAAATTTACCATCGTAACCATTTACTAGTGTATTGTTCCACAGTGACATTAAGTACCTTCACATTGTTGTGTTAGTAGATTTTTAAATCAACCTCACTACTGCCACCTCCCAGGTTAGTTCTTCACATAATATATATATAGTTTTAAACCCAGGCTTCGGGCATGTTCTTCATTCGTTAGGAAAGCTAACGGAGCGACTCCTTATTTGCTAATGGGATTTTTTTTTTTGAATGTCTGCCTCTCCTATAGCTGTAGCAGCTGAGACCCCAAAATTAAATCCTCTAACCCAGAATCATTCAGTTTATCTAGTAAGAAAACGCAAGTCTCCACCAGCCATGTAGCTTCCTGAGTAATTAATTTACTTCTTAAAAATATTTGCCCGGGTAGCTGTGAGCGCTGAGTAATACATAGAAGCTAACTTTTGGGGGGAACGTTTAACATGTGCAGCACCCCCTTTTTTGAGCACTTAACATCTGCTAACTCATTTCATCCTCCCAGCAATCCTAGAGGTAGATACTGTGTCATCCTCATTTTACAGAAGAGAAAGTGAGAGATAGGTTAAATAGTTTGCTCTTCCACCTGGTAAGAGGCTGAGCTGGGACTTCAGCCCAAGAAGTCTGGCTCAGGCCCAAGCTCTTAAAGGAAATTCAGTCCAATGAGCTGTCTGAGGAGTATGTTCTTAAAAGAGCTTCCTTATGCTGCATACAGAACCGTGTTATGTCCTTCTCTTCCTCTCCCAGCAAAAAAAGTCACATGTTTCACCCTCAAAGCAAGCAACTTGAAGTTAACATATGAAGCAATAGCCATTTGAATCAGTCCTCGAAACCTTTTCTATTCTTCCAAGTAGAAAAAATGCTCCGCATTGAAGCTTCGCCTCGATAGTGATAAAGCCATAAAGTTTTAAGCATTAAATATATGAAAATCTCCTTGTTATTTTAAGTATTTTGACTTTGAAATGCATGGAAACTCAAGAGTAAGTTTCAGTGAATAGTGAGGCAAAGAAGAGTAAATAGTGTCTAAAAAGAACCAATTAATGTATTCTTTCTAATTGCCTTTCTTAGAAAAATGGCATTTGTGAAAAGATACCCTAATTGCCTGCTCCATGTGTATACATCAGTATGTTTAACCCACTGTCCAGCCTATAGATTTTAATAAATAATACTATGCCTCCTTACCTTGGTAAGGAGAACTTGGAAATATGTTGGAGTTTTAAGGAACCTTAGAAAATATTTGGCTCAACCCCCTTATTTTCTAGTAAGAAAAATGAAATTCTGAGTGAGTAAGTGACTTACCAAAGGCCACATCGCTTCTTAACAGGATTTCTGGAATTAGACCCAAGATTCCTGACATCTGGTAGGCTGTCTCCCCAAGAAAGCAGGGGGACACGGAGGCTAAAGCCTTTTCTTTACTGGTTTAGGTTATTAATCTTTACATCCCTGACTGGCTACAGTCCAGCTCAACTTTCAAATATTTACTTGACAGATAATGAAAAGATCTTATCAGACTATGGGACGACCTTTGTTACAGCATGGAAGAACACTCACAACTACAGGGTCTGGAACAGCAACAAGCATCCAGCACTTGCAGAAATAAATCCGAAGTAAGCACATCCTCTGAAGGTTGATAGAGGTGGTTCACTTACTAAGTGTGCCCCAGCATAAAGAAAATCATATCTTAAAAAAAAAGAGAAGAAAATCATATCTTAACTCTGATGATATTGTGAATATCTTCAAGCATCTCCCTGAGTAGATTTTTATAAAAAGGCTCCCAAGTACAGAGAAGCAGCTGAAAACTGCTTCCCTATTCACACTTCTTACCCACAAAGCACAAGGCATTTTGGAAGCACTAACATTTCTCCCAGCTTCCAGCGTGATTTGGAGACAAAGTCCTGGCCTGTGAGGATCCTCCTACCTCATGGTTCTTCCCTCCCTTTCGCTGGATCTCTGCCTCAGCAGAATGGTCAAACAAGACAGAACCCTTGAGGGAAATAGCACTGGTTAAAACTGAGAGGTTATTTTATTTTATTTTATTTATTTTTATTTTTTTAAACTGAGAGGTTATTTTAAAATATGAAGTGTGAACAACTAAAGTTAATATTTGAACTCCTAGATTTGCAGTCAAATCTGATGCAGTTTCCACATCAGATTCTAGATCCAACAAAATTTAATACATGTCACAGTGTCGACTGCTGGGCAAAGACTTTATCCCATGTAAAAGACATTTAAACATGCTGGGGAGTGGGGCCATTAAGAAATAATACTATGTGAATGGCAGGGTAGCGTCTAAGGAGATCAATTAATATAATGCGTACATCTTGGGAACTTCTTTTCTAAATTAAAATATATAATTTTTTATTTACAATACAAGTATACGCTGAACGTTTGTTTTCATTTGTGTTTTAAACTTTACTTCTCGGTGAGAATCTGACAAAAATCAACTTAGTGCTGATTACCATATTATTTGGGAACTATGGTAAACTTAGCTCAACTGGGGATGTGATTTAAGTGGTGCTACAAATACAAAACCCAGGAATTATGTCATAGTAACTTACAAAAGCATCTGTAAGGAAGCAGGATTTGGGAGAACATGTCTGCCAATATTTTGTACCTATCAAGAACAATGCCTAGGTTCAGGACCGATTTGGGGGAATTTAATCCTCATACTGGGCTGTAGCAGAAACCTATGTTGCCATTTGGGTGTGGTAAAAACAAAGGGAATTAAAAGGCACAAGCGTTTTAATGGTATTAAATGAAAGGACTAAGAGTTCAGAGTTTTCTCCCTCACTAACCACAAGGTCTGTGTTCTAAAGAGTAATAAGGAGAAACAGATGTGAGTTTGTTTGCCTGGCGGTACTCCTTGTGGTAGTGCTGGGGGAGTGACCGCTCGTAGTTTGGTCTCCTCTCCGGTACTCTGACCCTTAGCCTGGTCAGATCGTTACGCAGCCCCTGCGTCTGCTGTAGTGCCTTTAACTTGAAGCAGCTCGACAGATTGTGTTGCAGGTCCATATGAGGATTAGCTGGAATGTGTTTTAAAGGAATGTAAAAACAATACTTTTAAAAATATGTAAATAAATTGCTGTTACTTAGATTGAGGAGAAAGCTGAAGAAAAGGACCAGAAAAAAAAAGGTAGGGAAATTATGCAGATATGACCATCAGCAGATTTTCAATATTTTCACCAAATTCAAAACAAGAAATGATAGTCTTCAACTGTCACCAGGGGGTATAATTTGGAAATATTCAAAACTAAATGTAAGGTTTGAGATTTATGAAACCCTTTCTTCAACTCCTAAAGATCGGAGAAGGTAGTCCTCTGACTTCCCTTAAAAGCAGCAGGCATGTTTCATCTTTTAAGCATAGCGTTTGCAGGAATAGAGAATGATGAACTAATCTCTCAATTCTTTCCAACCGGAGATTCAGAAATCCAGAAAAAGAGGGGTTGTTAACGTATGCTTAACATGGCCAATATATCAATTTGTTTTCATTTGAAAAGCCATAAATAGCATTTTGATATTTCAATAAGTGGCTACAAATTTCTCTAGGTCACTTTCTTTGTTAGACATTGACAGAGAGACCCCTGCGTATGAGATAAGAATTTGAATATTTATTGATGCCTTCTTGTATAGTGTAAAGTTGATCAGGTTGCCTGATTTTAAAATGTCGGTGCTTGGGCCCCACCCCAGACCAGGTAACTCAGAACATTAGGGCGGCACTAACACAAACCATCCCCACCCAAGGAAAAAAGCACACCTATTTTACAAGCAAGGACATAAGCTCAGAGGGACTTACATAACTGTTAAGTGGAGAGCTGTGATCAAAGCCCTGTTTCCTATATCTCATTTGGAGCACTGCCACCCGGCTGAGTCACCCCTGCGAGGGAGGTTTCCTGATTCTTCCATGTGATAACTGTGTTGCAGCTTTATTGGCGAAATACTCATAGTCTAAACTCAAACTTTGTTTTACAGCCATCCTTTCCAAGGCCAGTATTCAGTGTCAGACATGAAGTTAAGATTCTCACAGTGAGTATTTAGGGAAAATACTAGGAACAGTCTTACGTCTGAATGTATGCCATGTGTTTCATTGCTAATTGGGAATTGTTTTTCTCCACTTCACAGACTTGTGCTTCAAGTAGTAACCAAATATGTGCGTTAACATTCTCTAGCTCAGCAGTGTGTATGTTTCAAAGTGAAAACACTGCTGTTTCATGGAGAGTGGTGTGAACTAATAGCCAGATTTGCCATTTTTGTTCTGGTGAAGTTACTTTAGCATATTGTGACTGTAGGAAGAGTTAAGCATGCATCCTTATGCCCTTACCACTTTTTGGCTCATCTGCGTATCTTGTAGTGTTTTCTGAAGATTCACATGCTTAAAATGTTAATTAATTGATGCATAACAAATAATGCATTATTTAGCTTCTTTTCTCAGTACTGATTTGAGGGATGGTTATGGAGTGGTGAATGTATACCTGAGAGATTTTTTGAAATTGTACTTAACGTTCCTCTCCTTTACTCAGTTCTGTTCAAAACAGTGAACGTGGCAAAAAACTTGGAAACGTCATGGTCACAACGAGTCGGAATGTTGTGCAAACAGGAAAAGCTGTTGGTAAGGATGTCTTGGGCAGGAACAGATTGGAATCGTAACACATCTCTTCTCTATCCTCAATATATCACTGATAAAAACATAAAGTTGTAGAGATCTGTGTATCACATAATAATGCAAGATGGTCGAATACAGAGGTTTTTGTTTTAAATTTTGGGCTTATTCATTAAAACCATTCTTGTGGCACTAGATGATGTCAAACCAAGTTTAGCAAATTTTGTCCTGTCTGTTCTGTTACCAGGATTCAAGCTTCTCTGGAGTTTTTCCTCCATTCCCTGAGCTGCCCACAGTTCGTTCATTCATTCATTCATTTATCTATCTATTTATTTATTTATTTTTGGCTGCACACGGGCTTTCTCTAGTTGCGGCCAGCAGGGGCTACTCTTCGTTGCAGTGCACGGTCTTCTCATTGCGGTGGCTTCTTGTTGCGGAGCACGGGTTCTAGGTGCTCGGGCTTCAGTAGTTGTGGCTCATGGGCTCTAGAGCGCAGGCTCAGTAGTTCTGGCTCACGGGCTTAGTTGCTCCGCGGCATGTGGGATCTTCCCCAGACCAGGGCTCGAACCCATGTTCCCTGCATTGGCAGGCAGTTTCCCAACCACTGTGCCACCAGGGAAGTCCCAGCCCACAGTTCTTTATAAATAGTAGAGAGCCATAATAATAAAGTAGGCATTAGGAACTGCCATCTATTAAGGTAGTATCACACAATAAAGAAGATCAGTGAAACCAACAGTTGTTTTTATGAAAAAATCAACATTAGTGAAACGTTTTAGACTAATAAAGAGAAAAAGAAGATACAAATTACCAGTATTGGGCATGAAAGAGGGGACACCACTGTAGATCTTACAGAAATTAAAAGGATAATAATATTGTGAATAATTTTATGCCAATTTTTCAACAACTTAGGTAAAATCTACAATTTCCTTGAAAGACTCAAATCGCCAAAACCAATGCAGTAAAGAAATAGAAAATCTGAATAGCCCTATATCTATTAAATAAGTTGAATTAAAATTTAAAAGTTTGCCACAAGGTTTTAAATATAATGTAAACACAGATGGCTTCACTTACGAATTTTATCAAACATTTAAGGAATAATGCTACTGTTATACAAACTCTTTCAGAAAGTAGTGGTTGAGGTAATACTCCCCAACTCATTTACTTAGCCCAGTATTACCCTGATACCAAAGCCAGACAAATGGTAGCATGCTGTTGTATACACCCTTCTGTACCTTTTTTCACTTAAAATATTTTGAAGATTATTCCATACCCTTTCTAAAGAAACTTCTTGTTCCCTCTTTTCTATATTTTTAACTTTTTATTTTTATATTATTTCAAACTTAAATTGTGCAACAGTGTACAAGGAACTCCCAGTTATCTCAGATTCACTGATTATTTACATTTGGCTATGTTTGCTTTGTCGTATCAGTATTGAAAATAGGACCCATCTCCTTTCTTACCTCCTGAGAGAGCTTGGCTAACCGTTACTGAACACAACTCAAAAGCCCCAGAACTAAGTGATCTCTGTGCAGGGGTCCTTGTAGCTCTAACGTCCTGTATATCCAGAGATAGACAGGGTGAGAGAACTACTCCACACACTCGTCTTAGAAGAGAAACACAAGGCACATAGCCCCATCACTGTGGAAAAGTAGGAAAATTCTACTTCATCATAGTTGTATGATGTCAGTTGTTAGTTAATTTTTAGTGATGCTGCTGATATTTAAATTCTAAGGCCTATTCTCTTCTTCCACACTCCCTTCTTCAAGAATAGTGAGTATGGATGATTCAGCTTAAATAATTTCACTTTAACACGAGATAACGCTCTTAAAAACAAAACAGACCTCAGGCAGATAGAGCTCTGTGTGTCTTCATTTGATGCAACATCATTTTAGATGACAAAAACAAATTTCCCTAAGCAGCCTAACAGCTCTTCCCTGCAGGTGGTTTTTAGTTATCAACTTGGATTTAGGGTACAGAGAGCTCATAGGACTTTTTCAGCTCTCCAAGTCATTCTGCTGCACAGCCAGTGCTGAGAACCACTGGCCTGGCACAGTGGGCATTAAGGAAAGAGTTTGCTCAAGATTTTCAAAATGCTTAGGAGAGCAGGGTCTTACACCCTGGCATTATCCAGGTTCCTCTTAGACATTCCCATGGTAACGGATTATTTTGAAACTAGAAGTGTAAATGGTATTTTAGTAACTATTAACATATCGGTTGCAGTTAATTAACATTTATTAATTAACATTGGTTTTTCAGTGTCTCTTAACAAAAGTGAAGACATTTTTCCTTTTGTTTTTCCCCTTCTTTCCATTCAGGCCAGTCAGTTGGAGGAGCTTTTTCCAGTGCAAAGACAGCCATGTCTTCATGGCTTTCTACTTTCACCAGTTCCACTCCACAGAGTCTCACTGAGCTGCCTGACGGGAAACCCTGAGCGGAGCAAGCCACCCAGAAGCTGCTGTCGCTTTCTTAGGTTTAAGCGTCCCCTGTCTGTCTGCTGCTCCCAGACTGTTCCTCTTCATTGACCACAGGTCCACAGCAGGGACCAATAGGTCGAACTGTTTACAGGGACGGTTGCCCTCTGTGTAAATGAATGTCACGGGATGCTGAAAAGACGAAACCACAAGCGTAGCAGGGACGGCTTCCCAGGTTGGGGTTTAAATTGACTACTTTATTTCAGTCTGAGCCTGATTGAAACACAGTGAACGTTCTAATGAATTCTGAGTTCTGATATTATACATTTGTTTACTTTAGAAAAGTTTTTACTTGGTGTAAATTTTGTTCTGTTGTTGCTGTTTGAATATCCAGATGGATATTTATCTGTGCTAAGATTAAGTTATATTACTATTTTAATTTCTCTAAAGTGGGCCCTAAAATGTGCTTACATTTAACAGTAAGGGGGCATATAATCCAGCCCTTCATTATTATCTTGCTGAGTTATATGAGGATTTTTTGTTTGTTGGTTTTCTACCCACAAAACACATTTATCACTTCACTTCCTCCTAGAAACCGTGGAAGTCAGAGGTGGTAGTTCTGAGGATGGAGTGTTTTGTTTTGTGCTTTTAATTTATTCTTTCCCAATCCTAAGCACTTGCTTTGAGGTGTCAAGGAGGGTCACTGTGCTTTCTTCCTTTTCCTAATTGTTCAAGTAGATGTGCAAAGAAACAGCGTGGTGACGGTTATAGCGGTGTTCAAGCAGTTTAACTGAGTGTGTATTTAGGGCAAGACTTTTAAAGATCTAGGTGTTAGTTCTATTGACTGTAGTAATGTTGCAGTCTTTACATGCATTTTTTAACCCAGAGTTTGTGCCTTCTATTTCTTCTTTTGAACAGTTTTCCATTGGGTGTTTACAGACTTACAGGTTTTTTCTTTGTCTTAATCTTCATAAAGCTTTTCAGGGCGCTTGGCCTTCCTACTTCCCTGATAGAAAATCCTCATGTAATCAATCTCTACCCCCTTCCAAAAGCAAGATGATCTGTAAATATTAAACAGAAATCTCATCTTGGCTCACATTTAGAAAAGCAAGAGAAGAAAACTACAGCCATGACATCAGTCATGTTTCATGAAGGACACCTGGGTTCATTTTAGACACAGGTGTGCTCAGTACTGAAGATTTTTACACAACTAGACCTCATGTGGCTGCCAGGCTCAGCTCTCATTTGCTTTTCAGGGGGACTTTGGCTGGGTGTTCTCAGGGAGTACTTACAGGCGACAGGCTGCTTTTTCAGTAACAAAGGATACTTGGAAAATACATCATGAGTATAATCTACATTTGATATAAAGAGTATTGAGAAAATCAGGGACCTAATTAGGGAGGACGCTTGATTATATTTGATTTACCCTTTAAGAAATGTTTGTATAAAAAGCACTACTAGGGCATGTGAAACGAAACATAGGGACATAATCTAAATATCCCTAAAATTTCCAATTTGTGTTTTAACACAAGTCCTGCACACCTAAAAGCGTACTTCCCTTTGAGTATAATAACTCAAGGTAAAGGGCTTATTGTGAGAACTGTATTAATTCCACTTCTGCTAGGAAAGTTTGCTTTCTCAGGAAATACTATTTGAAGAGAAGAAAGTAGTACCAAACAAAACTTTAAAAGGTACTTTAAAGTTGCACTGAGACTAACATCTTATATTATCGTGAGGCCGCATTGTTGAGTAGAGTGTGATAGTGTGTCGGTACGCAGTTGCTACTCTCGACTACCCGGCTGTTCACGGCGCTAAGAGTGCTGTGAGGGGTCAGCCAGCACACTGCTGGTTCCTCCTTTCGTTTGTATGGCTTGTATGATTGGGGTGAATTCTCATCTCTCACTATTCCAAGAAGTCCAATCCACTTTGGAATCCCACTGAAATAAAACAAGTTACATAAAATTTAACTTTGCTTTAGTATCACTCCCTATTTTATATACACCTAATGGAACTTTCTATTCATGTTTCTGGTTAAGAGTTCAACTCTTATTTACTGTGGTCATTTAACTGGCTTTCAGCATAAAGTGAGTATTTCAGAAGATAGAACTTTTGTCATAGAAATGGTCAAAAGACCCTAACTCTATTTCCTTCAGGTTCTAGAAGGTATGGGCACCTTCAGGGAGTGCAGGCTATTACGTTGCTGCTGGGGGGCCCTGGGGCAGCCAGCACAGTTGCAGGCAGGAAGTCTGGCCCCTGGTCCCGGGAGCCTACGTGCTTCAAGTTTGGGTTCCTGGCTGCAGCCCAGCGTCCAGCCTGGAAGCAGTAGCCTCCTCTAGCCACTGGCTCTGTGAGTGGAGCCAACACTGGTGTGGCTGTCTTCGGACAAATCACTGGAAAAGGTGTGTGCTTTGCTTGGCCACAGTGTTTTTGTCTGAGAACTGAGTGCGTTTATGTAGGCCCGAGGGAGCTAGGGTCAGCCAGGCAACACAGACTGCATCCATAGCTTGGTGGAGACCTCGCTCCTGTCCAGGTGACTTAAAAAGAGTGTTTGGAAAATGTCCCTGGTGTGCTTTAATTCCTACTAGGCACTGTAATGACGATGACATAGGTAAGGGAAAGAGGGTTAAAGCTGACCCAAGTGTCCTGAGTTAAGTGAATAGGAAAAATTGCCTGTCACAGTATGGCTTAGGGTTATTTTACATCTGCATTTGGCTCATATAACCAGTATGAATAGTCTATCCCCAAATCTGTTAGTGATTTACTAGCCCCCAGGCCCTAAAATACAATTTTCTTCTACTTTTTGCTTTAAGAAACACAGCAGCTGTATCTTTGGGCAGCAAACCAGAGCATATGGCGTGATTTCCTCAGCCTTATCTTGCTTTCCAAGTCCTATATTAAGCATTGGTTTTTTTGTTGTTGTTGTTTTTAGAATAATTTACTTAGAAAGGCAAGGAGAAAACAAATTAGGAAGGGAGAGGTGAGAAGTTGCAAAGCCAAGAGACAAGGTCCTTTAAAATCTGAATGAAAGTACTTTGAGAGCAGTATTTTTTTTTCTTTTGGTATAAATTTATTTATTTTTGGCTGTGTTGGGTCTTTGTAGCTGCGCGCAGACTTTCTCTAGTTGAGGCGAGCGGGGGCTACTCTTCATTGCGGTGCACGGGCTTCTCATTGTGGTGGCTTCTCTTGTTGCAGAGCATGGGCTCTAGGAGCACGGGCTTCAGTAGTTGTGGCATGTGGGCTCAGTAGTTGCGGCTCGCAGGCCCTAGAGCGCAGGCTCAGTAGTTGTGGTGCACGGGCTTAGTTGCTCTGCGGCATGTGGGCTCAAGCCCATGTCCCCTGCATTGGCAGGCTGATTCTTAACCATTGTGCCACCAAGGAAGCCCGAGAGCACTATATAATATGCTAAAGGTTATAATAATTCTTTTATGAAGAACTTAAATTATTCATCTGCTAGTTACGAGTTTTTGTTGTTGTTGTTGCTGTACGCAGGCCTCTCCCTGTTGTGGCCTCTCCCGTTGCGGAGCACAGGCTCCGGACGCGCAGGCTCAGCGGCCATGGCTCACGGGCCCAGCCACTCCGCGGCATGTGGGATCTTCCCGGACCGGGGCATGAACCCGCGTCTCCTGCATCGGCAGGCGGACTGTCAACAACTGCGCCACCAGGGAAGCCCACGAGTTTTAAAATGAGGCTTTAACTTTATCTCCCTGGCAGGCAGTTTTTGTTTTTAATTTGTTTTGTGGAAGTTAGAGTCAGTGGTCCTTTTCCCTGAGGCCTGGTGATGAGTTTAGGAGCACCCAGCCCTGTGAGGGGCCAGTGGACTTATCCTGATCCCCTTGAACTTTTTATCTGCTTCAGCAATTTGGGAAAGTAGCCTGTTAGGCTGGTAGCCGGTAAGTGTTGCCTGTTATTTTATCAGGGAGTTGGTTGGGACTCTTGAGATGGCATTGACATTTGCATGCTCTGATTGTTTGACCAGAGGTGGCACGTCATTCATGGCCTTTCCACCCAGTTCTGTGGTAGCCTCTAAACACGATAGAGAACGCAACCGTAGTTTCTAGAAGATGATTGTCATTCTGTGTAGCTCAGCGTGCCACTACGAGTTTTTTCATTCCAAGTCTTTGGACTTCATAACATTGGAATTGTTTTTTCATCATTTCTAACATTCCATAAATATTTGTCAAGGACAAAGAAAAGGAATGTGGATCTTTATTCTTCTCATATAAATAACTTTGTACACATGACTTCCTGCTTTCATATGAAGGAGAAGAAACTAGCTCCCTTGTATGGCAGCTCCAAAACTAAAAGATTGTTGGACGTATAAGGGGTTGAATATATTTTGTAAAACGCTAATGCATTTGTATCTCTGTGCTGTTCTAAAGATTACCTTTTTACTTATATTAATTAAAGATATAGAAACTATATATTTAAATCATGTTAAATGGGACATAACTTAGGGATTTTCCTCAATCTTATTTTTCATCGGCTTCTCACACTCATATAGTATGCTGCTCAAATTTTTTTGTGTGCAATATGAATATTTGAACATTTCAGTGAGGTACTGAGCCAGAAAAGGTAATTGAAGTTTTTAGAAAATTTATGTGCTTAGAAAATATATTGTTTTCTTTAAATATTAGTAATTTATAGCTGGAAATATAGGATCAAGACTTGCTTCAGGCCACTTGATCACTGGTTCCTAAATTTAGGAAGCATATAATTGACAAGTTGGTGAAAGCATTTAGTGGGTACAGGAATAGTTTAAATACTTGAGATTAAAGGTTTTTCACAAACCCCGTTCTAAGAAAGTTTAGCTTAGAAATCTTAGAAAGCTTTCTTGGGAAGTTTAGAGCTGTGGTACATGTTTTGATTAGAAAGATAGTTTCTCCTTGCTCTAGTAGTTTTATAATTTGTAGTAGTCTTTTGTTTCTGTTGTCATTTGTTTTTTAAAAAATGTTAAAATTATAAATCACGTCCAATCATACTGAATTGTAAAACTTCTACTGTATCTTTATTTTAAGGAAAAATGAGAATAAAATTATCCTGTTTCTCCTGCATACAGTGGAGTTGGCCTGTTTTTCTAGAAGTACCCTTCATGTTGTCAGTGTGGTTTCTGGCCTGCTTCACAGTTGGAGAGAAGGGCCAGCTTCGTTTACTAGGAAACCAGCGGAACTAAAGGACTCATTGCTCGTTTTTTTTTTTTTACTCTCTCATTTTGAAAATACTTGTGCTTCAGTTTGTGAGGTGGTGACCCTCGCAGCAAGAATGTTTAGTGCCTGGGGCTGCACAAAGTACAACCAAACGGAGTTTGGTCGTGCAGTAACGTCTTGTCACATGCTCACGGACAGAAATCCCCAGGGGACTAGGATATTGCCCCAAGCAACCCATTTTTCCATCCGTACTGGTGAGCTTCAGAATAACCTTGACATTTCCACTGAGGACTCCTAGCACATTTTCACATATGTATTTGCATGTACCATGGTTTCCTTACAGCTGTTTTGCAAAACAGCTTCACAGAAGAAGGAGACAAATTTCTTTGCTCCCAGGAATGTGCGCTGCCTTGAGTACAGGGTTAAATTTAAGGTACCAGTGTTCTTACAACGTGGACTGTTGCTGCCTGGAGCTGACAAGGTGACTCGGGCAGTAGAGCTCGACACCGCCAACATCTCCCTTTTCCGAGGACCTGTTCCAGCTGCGCTTCAGGCTCTGCCGTGGTGAGGGGATGGTCCCCCATCGTCTCCCAGGTCAGAGCTGCCTTCTCTTCATTCTGATAGGATGGGAGTTGCAATGATCAAACCTGGCAACATCTGGAAAGAGCATGATTATAGAGCCAGTTTCTTCCAAGGAACCACACTTTGTGAAGGGTTCATCTCCTCCTGTGGTAATCACAGGCTTAGGGAACCGCTCTGCAGCAGGACTGATCTGTCCAAGTTCACAATCGACAAATCCCCAGTGGACCTTCCAGTCGCGTGACCGACAGCCAACTCCAGCCGAGGCGGCTAAGGTCTAGTCATCCAGCACAGGTAACACACTTTGTATGGCTATGGATTCAGAGGCCAGGGAGTGTCTGGGGCAGGAAAGCCAGATGGTTGTGCTCTTTGCTCTTGATCCCACGTATACCTGTTTTGGAACCACTGACATCCCAGCATAACACAAAAACTAAGATTCAAATGTTTCTAAATGTGTATGTTTTATCCTTCACCAGACCTGGCTTCCCTCCTGGGGCACATTGATGTGGAGGGTGGGAAAATGGCGAAGGCCACTTGATAACATATTGATCATTGTTGAAGCCAGGAGATGAGTACACAGGGGTTCGCTAGACTATTCTGGTGTCAATGTATGTTTGAGAATTTCCATAATGAAAAGTTAAAAACTCCTTGCTCGCCATGAAACAACTCTGCTGCTGCTGGAAAGGCTCCACCCTCTGTGTCCTCCCTGCCCACCCCCCAGCCCCCGACCCTGGCAATGCTCTCAAGTAGTTGCAGGGAATTTTGAAGCCTTCAGTCGGGCTCTCGGCATCAAATCAGTGTCTGCTAGTCCTCTTCTGACCTTACATGGTTCCAGTCACTTGTCCTTGTAAAGCAGAATCTCTCTTGAGTTAGCTTTAGAATGGAAGGACTGGGAAAGAACAGAAAATAAAGTTTTTGGAAAAATTTGTTCCATCACTAAGTTCCTACTGTTCTTCCTCAGTAACTCGTCTTCGTTCCATCTCTTTCTAACTTCACTTCCGTCATTCCTGGTCTGTTATGCCTGAGCCTTTATCAGTTTCTCTACTTTCAGTCCACCCTACCCCTCACACCCAGAATCATCTCCCTAAGACATTAGGTTTGTGTTTTTTTTTTAAGACACCAATTGTACTTGAACATTTGTTACTTTTTAAAAAATAATTAATTAATTTATTTATTTTTGGCTGTGTTGGGTCTTTGTTTCTGTGCGAGAGCTTTCTCTAGCTGCGGTGAGCGGGGGCCACTCTTCATCGCGGTGCGCGGGCCTCTCACTATCGCGGCCTCTCTTCTTGTGGAGCACAAGCTCCAGACGCGCAGGCGCAGTAGTTGTGGCTCACGGGCTTAGTTGCTCCGCGGCATGTGGGATCTTCCCAGACCAGGTCTCGAACCTGTGTCCCCTGCATTGGCAGGCAGATTCTCAACCACTGTGCCACCAGGGAAGCCCCATTAGGGTATTTTTAATTGTCCCTTTGCTGCATGGTAATCCTCCAAGTCTACTTACTGTCTACAGAATTAAATCCAGATTCCTGAATCAGGCACTCAGGGTCCACCACACAGTAACATCCCAAACTTCTCTCCTGACACTCTGGCCTCCACAAGCCCCCTGGCTAAGTGACACCTTTGCTGTGGTCACGCTTTCCCACCCCTCTAGTTGTTGGAGAAGCATTATTGAGAGAACCCCTGATAGACACTTAACTGAAGGTCAGCTCCAGCCTCTCTTGCTATTCAAAGTCTCCCCTGGGGCTACTCGGATTTCTTTCTAAAATACTTGGACTCAGCTTTGATTGAGCACCACGCAAATAGGTGCTTCTGTCTTGGAGATTTTCAACCAGTAAAACTTTAAGAAAGGGACGGGCAACTTAAGTGCGAAATACACATACAGAAAAGAAACATATACATTAAGCTTAACCAATCACACAACAAGTACCCAGGCAAGAAATAGCATATTGCCCACGCCTAAAATGCGCTGCCCCTTGTGTCTCTCCCAGATCATAATTCTTCCTTCTCCAGATGTGTTTGGTTTTCTGATTTTTGAGATAATCGTTTTCTTATAATTCGACCTCCTCCTTCCTGTGTATGTTTCCCAAACAGCATTGTTATTTTTTGTCTGTTTTTGAACTTGTATAAACGGTATCACACCATTCGTATTGTCTTTTTCCGCTTAATTTTGGTTTTAGGAGATCATTCTCTTTCACTGCTTTATAAGCTGTTCCACTGTACGACTGCACCACAGTTTATCCAGTCTGCTATGGGTTGGCGGTGGCTGTTTCTGGTTTGAAGCTAATGTGAAGAGCAGTGCTGCTCTGACCCTTCTAGTATGCATCTCCCAGTGCACCTGTGCATGTTTTCTCTAGGGTATAAATGTGGGAATGAAACTGCAGGGTCATGGG